GTAAGTTCACTCTGATGATAATATTTTCCTTTCTCGATCACTAAAACTTTATATCCAGCTTTAGCCAATTGAGCTGCTATTACACCTCCTCCCGCTCCTGAACCAACCACCACTACATCAAATTGTAATTCCAATCCTTCAGGTGGAACTTGAATAAAATCATAAATTGGAAATTTATTTTTGTTATCAGTAAAGAGTTGACTATTCATTCGAGGATCAGGTCCAGGATATCCAATTGTTGAATTAAAGATACTTGAATTCTCACTTGACCAAAATGTCGCTAGTATCAAACTATTAACTTTAAAAAGACTTCTAAAAAAGATTGAATTACTTTTTGACCATTTTTGCATGACAATTTCTCGATCTTTTCTATTAAGCTCATAGAATGGTGACATGTGACCAGTTAAGAGAAACGAAATTGGTCGCATGGTGAAAAGCGTTAAAATTGTAGAAAGTTGAGAAAGCGATTTCTCTGGTAAATCCCTATTGAGATTGTTTATCAATAATTCAATAAATTCATCCTGTTTTGACAAGTCAAATTTTCCGAATTCACGAATTTTTTCAGAATCGATGGGGATTTTAATCTTCGTCGTTAGAAGGGATTCAATTTCGAAATCATTCAATTCAGCTAATACTGTGCCGCTGAAAGCTTTCAGGACTTTAATTTGATAATCATTTAATCTCCATGGTTTAATTTTCTTTACCGGTGATTTTAATAACTTTAGAAAATAAATTGAAATTAAAAAAATTAATGATAAAAAAATTATGTAAACCAACATATCTAACATATTCTCAATAAGTTTGAGTGTGAAAATTATGTTTAAGAAATAGAAATCTTTTTTTATTATGTAAAATATAACAAGCATTTCCTTTTTAGAACACGTATTGTTAAAACAATTAGGTGTTACTTATTTGGCCGATGACATTGGTCTGGCATAATCTTGTATATATCTTGGTAGAAAAAACTTGTGCGACGTGGGACCATTGTATTCCCGAAAATTGATATTCCTGATATTCGAGAGCGACCTTGCATTTAGTCTTATGATAAAAAACTTATAATTCAACCAATAAAATTTAATAAAATAGCCCATTCGGATGCTGTTAAAAACATAATCATATGCTATAATAATGTTCCAATTCTTATAATCACTTATGAGGCTTTCCTTTTAAGTTGTACTTGAATAAAATAGTCCAAAAAACACAATACTAACATATGTTCAAAGATAATTTATATGCTCGTGACCCATGGTCTTGCATAAGATATATAGTTCCGTAGTTTATGGAGATTTAGGTCAAATAAACCTACTTTCTGGATTCAATGGAAATTGGAAGCAACTACGTTTTCTTAATAAAAAAAAATATTAATTTATTTACAAATCATCTAAAAAATATGAATTTCTTATATTTTTCTTATATACAGACTGACTGAAATTGAGATATACACAATCACATTTTAAATTCGAATGGCCGAGTTTTTTAAGGTATGAACGGTGCAGTGCTGTTAGAGAATTGGACAACGACTGTATAGTTATAATTATAATTAGTGTAACTGGTTGATTAGGAATATCAAACCTAAAGATTAATGGTGCGTTCAACTCATTAACCTGCATTTTTATTTACAGGTGATCAATTAAGCAATGTAACTTTTTTTTTGATTGGTAAAAAATTTAAAGTGATATTAGTTCGGAATAACGTAGACATTAAGCATAAAACAATTAATTAATGTGGGATATGTCATTTATTTATGTCGTTTATATGTCATTTATTAATGTACACAATAAATTTCGTTAATATTGTTAATAATATTTGTTAATATTGTTATTTTAAATTATTTAAATTTATGAATACGAATGAATTTTTTAAATTAAAACAGAGATGATTGGTCATTCTTTTTTTTTTTTTTTTAAAAAAAAATTATTATTTTATTATTAATCCTTTTTTTTTTTTTTGAATTAAGTTGTATTTTTCTGATAAATTCTCGAATTTGACCACTTCTCGAATAAAATCAAAATTAAATTAGTTACGCGCGTACTAATAAGCGTAAATTAAATAATAGTCTGGAAATTATCTTGATCTATTTCTAAACCTATTTATTTATTAATGAGCTATTAACAAAATATTATGTAAAATATGTTACAAAAGAAAAATGAAATAATGAAATTAAAATTATAATAAAAAAAATAATAATCAAGAATTCTATGAATTCTGAATGAATATAGATAATAAATAAATATTTGTGGATTATAATAATGCTAAATATAAGTTGGATATATTAATATTAACTTTTTTTCGTGATATTGTCAAATTATTTGAATTTTTAGTTGTCCATCCTCAGATGAAATTTTTTTTTCATTATTATTATTCATCGCCAGATGAAATTAAATTAATTAATTAATTTGATAATATCGGATTTTCTTTAAAAAAGATTTTTTTTTAAAAATTAATGTTACGTAAAGGTACATTCAAGGTGAATATAAAATATTATGACATTATAAATAATTAATTTTGCATAATTTTTTTACACATAAATAATAATATTATCTTTTGATGCCTTCATGCTATCTTTGATGTAATTATTTTATATGTTATCTTAATTTTGAATTGACTTAAAATTAAGTCGATCATAGCTGTCGTTATAATTTAAGAAACAAAAGTTTTAATCTCAACTTTTAAATCTCAAGTAAAATTAAATGATAATAAATTCGAAAAATTCGAAAAAATTTGGGTGAGAATAATTTGAATATAGATATTACAAGAGAAAGTGAGGGAAATGGATTAAATAAGATGAAGGGAAAAACAAAAAAGTTCTTTAAACGCCGATTTCGCCCAAGGTGAAAAAAATAAATACATAACGAAAAATAAAATTTAACAGAATTGAATAAAGAATATGAAATGGAAATTAAAATTTAAAGATGTGATGTGATTAATGTAAAAAATAAATTATCGAATGTTCATTGATTTCTGACCGTCAAAATAAAGTTATAAAATTATTATGATATTATCTAAGCTATAATTTGAATGTTATTCTTTACTTTCGATTTATATGTAAATTTTACTTTCGACCACCTCGAGACCCAACACGTGATCTACCAGAACCTCGTTTTCCTTTACTGCCTCGTTTCTTAACTGTAACCCATTCATTGTTAACTAATGATCCATCTATACTATCTTCAGGATGTTCCGGTATACTTTCATTCATTGCATTATATAAGTCACTACCTGGTCGTGAATTACATGGGGATTCTGGTGGTGTAGATAGGATAGATACAGGACGAGGTTTAGGTGTTTCACTTATCATTTCATGTCTTTTTGCAGCCCTTAATGCTACATTTTCTGATTGTAATCGAGCGATTTCTTCTTTCATTAGTTCATATTCATCGGCTATTCAATTTTATAAATTGTTCAAAAAATTTAATATTAATAATAATAATAATATTAATAATATTAATTAATATTAATAATAAAATTTATTAACCTTGTGTTTTCGTTTGTTCAAGTTGTTTTCGTACTTTGACATTTTCACTTTCAAGTTGATACGTTTTGGCTTTTTCTTGAACTAAAGAAATTATTAAAAAAAAATTGATAAATTAAATTACTATATTCCACCTACAAACTGCTATGCTTACACCAATATTGGGTTGAAAAAAATTTTTTACCTTGTGAATTAGTTAAGTTTTGAACTTGATTTGTCAATTGTTTTATGGTTTTTGCATTTGCTTTCTTTTCTTTTTCATAGGTAGCTTTTATCTTGTTCAATTGATCTTGTGTATCCTCAAGTTCAGAGTTACTTCGTTCTTTTTCGTTTCGTATATCTTCTTGATAAACTGATATTATTAACGAGGTAACACCTTCTCTAAATTCCATCATATTCGTATATTCATTTATTTCTTCTTTAGTGGATTCCAATTCAGTCACTGTTCGTTTGTATTTATTAGTTGTAGCAGCAAGGTCAGATTTGGCCGAATCCAGCAATGACTTAATTGAGGAAAGATCTGCCTTTGCCCATTCAAGTTTTGATTTTGTAAAGGAAAGTTGTGCTTTTGTCGAATCAAGTTGTGATTTGAAAAAGGAAAGTTGGGCTTTAGTAGCCTCGAGTTCATCCGCATGTTCTTCCTTGGTGGAATGGAGTTCAGCGGCGTATTTTGCTCTTATTACGCCTAATTCTGCTGCACATTTTGCTTTTGTTGCTTCTAATTCAGCCGTGCACATAGCCTGCGTTGCATCAATTTCAGCACTACACATAGTTTGCGTTGATTCTAATTCATCTCGTGCGTTGCGTAAATCCTGTTGAGCTGAATCAAGATCTTGTTGAAGAGATAATATTTGGTTTGAATGTGTTTGAACAAGTTTCTCTCGTTCTTTAATTTGATGTTGTATTTCACTAATTGCATGATCCCTTTCACTTGTTGTTGCAGCAAGATCAGTTTTAGCAGCTTGTAAATCATGAGCACATTCAAGTAGTGAAAAATTTAATTCTCTTATTTCACCTTCACGAACTTTAAGTACTGATTTTGAAGCTTTAAGATCTGATTTGGCTTTATCCAACTCAGATTGTAAAATACTCTTTTCTTTTTTTAATTTATTTACTATTTCGTTCAACTTCTCTATTGTTTGCTCACGTTCAATGAGTAAGTTTCCAAGGTCACTGACCTCTTGATCATACTCTTTGAATTGTGATTGTGCTTCAGCTAATTCCTTATTGGCACGTTCTTTTTCTGACTCCAAACCTTTAAGTCTTTTATCCAAGGTGACCAGCGTAGCTTCACGCTGTTGTATTTCTTCTTTTAAACTATTTATAGTTATAAGTTCAACAGCAGAAGCACGAACCTCGCGAGACGCGGCTTCCCGTTTATGCTTTTTTTTCGTAAGATATGTTATAAAATTTGATTCCTTCTCCGGTTTTGGAGGTGGAGGAGGTATATTTGATATACCTTCATCCTGTGTACGAAAAAAAGCGAAGCTTTGTCGATTCCGGCGTAAGAACTTCATTGAAAAATGCAGGTATTTGATAAAATCTTTTATCTTTTTATTAACTTTTTTTTTAATTTTTCATCGTGATATCGTGTCAATGTTGTGTAATATTAATTGCGTGATTATTAGTATGCATTGATTGCCAAAATTTAATTCATAATTAATCAATTTGATGTACTTCCAAAAATGAATCGTACTAATTGAAAATAATGATTAATATTATATAAATAAATAAATTAATATTTCGTTCATAATGGCACATGTGGAACCTGCTAGTTATTCAGTAATATAAATTATGTCCTAAGCAGGTAAAAATTTTGATGATAAATTTTTGAGTGGTTTTAAATTATGTTCTCGGACACAAAATGAGAATAATTATTTTTTTCAACTATTTGGTAATTCTTTGCAGAAGCATATTTATGCAATTCATTAAGTATTTATAGAATTTATATTTACAGTTAAACGTCTACTTTCCAAAAAGGAAATTTGTGGAATTAATTGCGACATTAAATATGTTTCTAAATATTGGTGTATTATTATTTAATCTCTTTAAAAGAGCAACCAAATATTGAAAATCTATCGACCCCTTCATGAACTAAATTTTCCGCAGCGATACCTTTTTATTTATTTTATGGTGGAGGTTTAGGTATCATTGACATTGCCCAAAAAGTTGAAAAAGAATCAATTTTATTTGTTTACTGTACGAGTTTCGACAGAAAAGAATTTATTAGAAGTTTTTCTTTTCAAAGTTAGTAAGTCATAAGATTTTTATCCATAACTCAGCGAAAAAAAAAATAAATAAATAAATATGGACTTGTCTTCTTTAAAAATATAATATAACTAGTTTATTGTTATCTTTTTTTAGTATAAGTAAAATACTATAGAAAAAAAATTAAAAACATAAAAACGAAATAAAAACAAAAATTTTATATAAAAGATGGGTCACCGGATTTTGGAACGAAGTTTTCTTTTTACTATTTCTAGCTTATTATTGGTAAGTTTTTTTTAATCTTTTCAAAATATTTTTTAGAAACTTTGCTAAATTTTTAAAACGTCTTTTTATTTAGATTTATACACTATTTGTCGCTATAGTTACTTTCAGAGGATTAAATTGTGAGTTTATAAAAGAAATGTGGTCATAGTGTTGGGAAAGCTAGTAAGTTTGTGTATGTTGTATGGCAAGAAAGTCGGATAGTAGAGGGGAAAACGAAGCCTGAAACGTGATAATCATGTGATTACAAAAATTTAAATCTGTTTTTTTTTCTTTATTCTAGTCACTGCAAATCACTTAAATAAAGCGGTCTTGATTGGATATGGTATTGTTGAAATGTTAATGGCACCTTCAGGTTTATGGGGAATTTTTGGAGCGATTCAAGTAATCTTTATTTTCTTTATTTCAAATCTGAATATTATAATGCTTTCCAAACTTAACCTTACCTCTTTATTATTAAATAGAATAATCCTTTCCAGGCAAAACGCTACGTAAAAGATCATTGGTTTTCTTTGATAGTTATGACTATAATTGATGGAGTAAAAATTATTTTTTCATTTACAACGAGAGATCACATGATTAAATATTGCGTAAACCAAAATATGAAATTTCTCAGTTGTCAGATAATAGTTGATTTTAATATTAAAGGAGGTTTGATAATATTTGGTACACAGGAATTAACTCTGGTAAACAATTTTTTAAATCTTTAGATTTATAATAATTAATATTATTTGAATATTAATAATAAATCCTTTATTCTCGTAGCTTTTTCTAGGTTTTTTGGCATCTTATAGTGTAAATCGTATTAGTGAAAAACCAAAAACAATACAAAAGGTTGAATCTGAACGAGAGATTGAAACAGTTGAATCAACTGTCTTGGAACCTCCAAATTCATTCATTCGTCATTCTTCACAATATCAACATATGAATCGGAGAAAGTCTATAGGATATAACGATGATAATAATATAATGATTGATGTCAACAATCCACCAACAATGAATCTTCCACAAAATGCTAGAATGCTGCCACCAATTGTTCGTTCTCAAAGTTTCGTAATGCCTCAACAACAAAAACCCATATATCATCAATATACTTCACCTCTGGTGAATTCTAACATGTATCCTCAAAAATTACCAATTTTAACGCAACAACAATTTCGAAATTCCGATTTGCAAATAGTGACTTCAGGTTCATCTAGTAAATTCAATAGACCAATTTCTTTAGGAAATAAGCGGCGCTCAAATAGTCAACCACAATTTCGAGTTTCTTCTTCCAAAGAAATATTGGAATACGAAAAAGAAAAAGTCTCATTAGATACAAAAGGACCATCAAATATTCAACTATCATCACCGTCGTCACTGTCGCCACCGATTTCATCAATTTCACCAATTTCACTAATAGCCGACCGCAATACAATTCGACATTCAAAATCTTTACCAATGATGTATAATAAATATTCAGAAATAAACAATAAGCAAATTCCTCCGGTACCGAGTCTTGATAATCAACAATATAAGGAAACAAATGATATAAGCAATGATATAAATAGTCAAATTGTGACAAAAAAATGAAAATCATGAATTTCATAAGCCTGAAAGGTAGTTACTTTGTTTACCAGAAATAAATTTTTGATTAGATTCATGATCTCAATTGAGCGCGAACAATATTAGCCTTTAAAAATTTTTTTTTTTTTTTTAGACATATGGATTTTTATTTCATTATTCATTTAATAATAATCTCATAGAATTTTATGGAAATTATTTCATCCTGTAAAAATAGATTAATTTTTTAAAATCTTTTTTTTCAACTTATCCGCTTTATCATTAATTAGATAGCCATCGATACATAATATTTTGCATATTATCAAATAGATAAAATTGTTCATTCCGTGCTCAAAAAAAAATATTTAATTATTACTATCATAAACAATTATATTCATAAAGATTTAACTTTACTTCCTCTTTCTTAATAATAAAAGAAAAACATGATTAATTGATCCTGCAAGAAATTTATAACCGATTAAAACTAATATTTGTAATTTAAGAATCAATTCAATCAAACATGATATAATTTGTATAATTTGTATAATTTGTATAATTCGTTTTGAGATATAAAATTCTTTTAATTGAAATTGTTAAATGTTTACTCATAATTCCATCAATATTTTATATTTTTATCATGATTTTATGTTATTCTGTATTTTCTGGAAGAGCAATGAATATTTGATGGAATCCTTTTTTTAATATAAATAATATCTATTAGACTTCAGAATTCAATTCTGCAAAAGTAATATAAAATAATTGAATTACGCATACCTCGTGGGCCATTCCATCCTTTAAGAGGAAAATTTGTATATAATCGTTTTTCATCTAATTACAAAATTTTAAAATTGATTAAAAAACGTGAAATTTGTTAAAACCAAGATTAAAAATTTGAATACACATATACCAATATATTTCTGATTTTGTCCTATCGTTTTGTATCTCAAATATCGACTTGTGTAGATTGCATTTGGATGTGTCTTTTGCTTTTTTTCCTTTTTAAATCTTTCTAATAGTTCCGTATTTACTTTTAAAGTAGTATTGAGACACCATTTCTTCCAAAATTCTATAGTTTCTACTATTTCAAATGAAGTAGGACGATTCCTTGGATTTTTATCCCAACACTTTTTCATCAAATTCACATAAGATTCCGGCATATGATCAGGTATTTTAGGTCGAACACCTTTTAAAATGTCATATACCAGATTTTCATCGTGAGGACGATCACAGAAAGGTTGGTTTTTCATAGATAATTCCCACATTATCATTCCAAAACTATAAATATCAGCAGCTGGAGAATATGTTTGTCCTAATAATATTTCAGGAGCTATATATGGAATTACTCCGTGAATTCCTTCAGAAGATAATATTTGATTCGTTGGTTGACACAACCCAAGATCACCAATAGAAGAATATTTTGTAGAACTAAATTGTTGTCCTTTTACGAGTACATTTCCGGAATGTAAATCTCGATGAACTAATCTTGTACTGTGAATGATAATTAATCCTTTCGCTATACCAAAAATTAAATCAATTATTGTTCTATTCCACCAAATACTATCGTCAAAATGATTATTACTAAAATTTCTTAGGTCTCCCATTTCAGCGTACTGTGTAATCATTAGAAATTCACCAGTTTCTGGGTCGCGAGATATTCCGTAGGCTTTAATAACATATTGGCGCTTCGATGCTATTGAGGTACATTGAAGATATCTCTTTAACTACAAATATGATTTTTAATTTAGATGTTAATTATTAATCTTTAGAAGTCTTAACAAAATAATAAAGTTTTATGTAGTCGCGGTATTCATTATTTATTTTATACATGAATTTACCTCGTTTAAAAATTCGGAAGAAATATCTTGAGAATTATAAATTCTTTTGAGTACGACATCTGTAATTCCAAATTCATGATTCCATACTGCTTTGTGAATAGTTCCAAAACCACCTTTGGCCAAATATTCTATTTGACTCAAATGATTATATGGTATCCATTTTAAAGATTCATATTGATTTTGTGCATTACTTTGAATTTCTTTTATAAACACATCAACATTTTTGTTTCCACTTGTCCAATTTGGATCTAGAGATATGACCTTGGTTTCTAAAGATTTTTTTTCTTTACTATTTGGACACCAGTGATATACAGTCTTAGGTTGATTACATTTTACACAAATTATATATTGTGGTATTTCTTTGGTAGTCATGTTTTGTTAATATTTTGAAAACAAATAATCGAACAAGATATATATTTAGATATTTAAAAGGATATTTAAAAGGAAAGAATGAAAATAAATAAATAGTAAAAATTGAATAAATTAGTACAATAACTATATCAAGCGCTTTTTATATCTTCAATATTATGCATGTTTAAAATTTGCTTGCAGTTAATAATTTATTTTCTTGCTGAACCCAACAGAATACAGTATAAATTTAAGTATTTTCTTTCTGAAAGAATTCATAACTTTTAAATTTTTCCTTTTATGCAACTCCTGGTTTTCAAACTTATTGAAGGTTTACGCGTTTTTTCCTTTGATAATTTCATGATAGCTAGAATTGGTATAGTGGCTTGGCACGTGAAACATAATAGATAAGTTTTCTTGGATAATAAAAATGGAAATAAATTGGATGAACCACCTAAAATTTAAGAGAAACACAAATTAATTAGTCAACATAAATGATAATGAAATGCATATTGAGCCGCAGTTTTTTAATTTAATTCGTTCTATAGTTGAAAAACATATATGCAAAGGGTTCTGTTTATAGCATAGCATTTTATAATTCTTGAAGCTGAAAATGGCAAGTAAGAAAATTTTTTTGAATTCATCAGTAATTCAATCACGTGATCCGCCATTATTCTAATCATATGACATTAAAACTTGAACCAAAGCCAGATTTCATTCCAAGCCAAACGTATTTTAATCGAATTAATTTGGTGATAAGCCATTGAAACAATACCTAATCAAACATAAGCCGTTCGGCTTAGTTTGGCTGGTTTACACAATGAATTTTGAATTTAGCACTGTGATATATTTACTGCGCCATTCACCATAGAAAAAGATAAAAGCGGGATTTATGTCCTTTATTATAATCTGTTGTTTAAATTGCTTAAGATTTATTTAAATAAAAGTTTTGCCACTCATTGAGGCTTTTTTTAATACAAAATTACTTCTCATTATTATTTCGGATTTTTATTATGATATTGAAAATTTTTATTTCTCACTTTTTGTACGAAGCAAATTTTCGTGATATTATAATAATCACGACACATTCAACACAATAATTTAAAAAAAATTTTTTTTTTTACAATGATTATTTGTAACGCTCTTGCCACATTTTGGAGAAACTTCCGACATTTTCTAATACTGTGCACATTTATAATTATAACATTGCAATTCTCTTTAGTCAGATGCGGGACATCATATAAAATAGGAAGAAATAATATCAAGAAAAGAATTTCATTGGGTGGACACTCATATTTATCCCGTATTAAATCGTCGAATATGATTTCTATCACTGAAGAAAATTCCGAAATTGCTGGTTGCAATATTCTTTGTATAACGATTATTATAGGCATAGTTGTTTTGATTACGTTAATTTTATGCATTTGTCTTATTCGAAGAAGCAAAAGGAGAAGAAGAAAAAAATCAAAATACGGAGCTTCTACAAGATCATATCTCCCAAGTTTTATGGAAAGAAGCTCGCGTATACAACCATCATTACGTCCACCTATACTTGACGCTACCTCAAATGACAAAGCAGAAAGATATTCAATACAAAATCCACCACAAGAAAAACTACCGCCTCCTAATTCTGTTATATTGATTCAGGGTCTTGGTGGTGCCAAGGCGTGGGAATGGGAACCTGTAGAAGATTTATTAGCCCAGCAAGATGTCTCGATAGAAAAAGAAACAAATATTGTGACATTTCATAAAAGAAAAATTGCCACAGTACAAACAAATTATCCCTTTTTTATTCCTCAAGCTGAAGGAGATAAATTATATGAAGCGCCTTTTGAAACTCCAACAACTATGCCCCATAGACAAGGACAAATGTTGCACTATTTCGAGATTACAGTTTTAGAAAATCCCGAAGGTCAAAATACGTACATAGCAATAGGCTTGGCTACAAAACCTTATCCACCCTTTAGGTATATTTATTATTCTTTATATAATTTATATTTTTGATATTAATTTTTACATTTTTTATAATTTTTAAACGCTAACAAATAATTCATTTTTTTTTCTAAAAAAAATTCTTATCAAAGATTACCGGGGTGGAATATTCATTCAGTTAGTTATCAATCTGCTGATGGTTTAAAATATAATGATTCTATTAAAGGTGAAAAATTTAGTGAACCATGGGGTGAAGGAGATACTATCGGATGCGGATATAATCCAGATATAGGTCAAGTATTTTTCACGAAAAATGGTACATTCCGTATTGCTTTTACAGGAATAAATCATATATGGTATCCAACTATTGGATCGACAGGTCCATGTACTTTAAAAGCAAATTTTGGTGACGATTTTGATAACGAATATTTATATGATAGTGCAAAAGGTTACGGGCCAGGAGGTCCTTTATTGAGATCTTCTATCAGACGTTCAAGGCCAGTTCGTCGTTCTACATCAGATAGTAATAAGTAAAAAAAAACTTTTTATTATAGAGAAATAATAAATTATAGACGAAAATAGATTTTTTATTTGTTTAGTGTTATACACGCTAATAACAAAATAACAAAATAAAAATTATATCAAAAAAAAAAAAAGATTGAATAAATTATTTTCTGATAATTATGTTTATTAATGAAATTTCGTATTATTAGTTTTATGTATGATTTATTTTTGGAGGATTTTCAAAAAAAAAAAAAAAAAAAATTTTTTTTTTTTAATCGTGTATATTCAACCAGCTTTTTAAGGAAAAAAGCCAAAAGAACCAGTCACTAACGGGTAATCCCGTTATTCCATCAACGATTTTTATTTTATCTGCAGTTCGAATGAAAAAGTCCTCGCTATACCAGCCAAACCAATATATTGCCAGGTCGATTATGCCAAGTTTTGCGATAGACAATTCGGGATATACAAGTTCAGAGGATTGAGATTGTTTAATTGAAGTGGGCTTCTTCACCTCTCGGAGTCGGAAATCATACGTGGTTGTTTCGTTATACGGATTTATTTTTGATTCTTGGAATTTAAAGGTCGGTAATGGAACATCCTTAGCATTAATTTCGCTTTCTTGAGGCCAAGATGTCTCGGTTGGTGTTTCGTTTTCTTGAGACCGAGATGTCTCGGCTGATGTTTCGCTTTTTTGAGGCCAAGTTGTCTCGGCTGGTGCTTCGTTTTCTTGATGTTTGGAGATAATTGATTTTAATTAAAAAAAAAAAAAAATAGTAAAACCAATTTGAAAAATAAAATACACACCTTTATCACCTGTATCACTTTTATCTTCAGGCGAGATAGGTTCATCAAAGGATTCATCAACTCCATTTGTATGCTCGTCATTTGACTCTTCAGAACTCTTGATAGTTGATTTTTCTAGTGTGAAAGTCAATAATATAATTAGTTACCAAGGACGAAATGACAAAAATAATCAAGAAAACTTTTTTACCATTCACAGAAGCAGACGAGTTGGAATCGCTGCTGCTTCTATTACTTGTAGAACTACTTTCTTTTTCATCACCTGGACTTCGAGATTTGTTTTTATGTTTTTTATCCTTGTAGAGGGAGGTAGGCAAACTTTTAATTCTTTTTTTAATCGCTTTCTTCATTGTATGTAAATAATAATAACAAAGCATGAAAATTAGAATTTGGGGTTTTGAAAATAATATAATTTATATAGAACTTTTCACTGTTTGATCATAATGACGAAAATATTTGTCATAAATATATTCTAACAATGTTAAGCACTACATTGTTGGATTATTTTAATCTGGAAATTAATCTAAACCTTGGATGTGAAAAACATTTACAAAACTTTATATCAGAAAATTTCGATTTATATTTTATTTTTACGTAATTATTGAATCATTTTCGAATCAAAGTAAATAAAATTTATAATTTGAACATTATCTAACAATAGATCAATAGATGTTTTGTTTGATAATAATATAATAATAATACAATTTATCCTTTTTCTATTTTTAATCGGAATATTTTTTTTTTTTTGGAAATGAATGAAGTGAATTAAGTGAATTATTTGCATGCATGTGTCACATCAATTTTTTTATGTTATGTTTCATTATATTTTTTTTGTTGTTTCATAATTTTTTCTTGCCTCTTTTCTTTCTTTCACTTTCAATTCCTTTTTCTATTCTCATTTATCAGAATTCATTCATTAAAAAGTATTATTATACAATAATAATTTCAAGTAATTTAATAAATGTCCGCAGTACATTCTTCTTCATCATTTCCTACTTTTCTTCTTTATGAAATTCTTTTGGACTTTCATAATGATAGAAAAACTTTACATTCCTGTATATTGGTAAATAGAGCATGGTGTCGAATCACTATTCCTTTACTTTGGAGAAATCCTATCAAACTTCTTCATGGACCTGATGATTATTATCCTTATCATAAATATCGAAATAATCATGTTAAATTGGTAGATACTTATCTTCGTTATTTAAATGAAGAAGAAAGAACGGAATTAGCTAAGGATGGATTCATTCTTGGAATATCACATACCATATCACCTTTATTCGATTATATTTATTTCTTGAGATATGTATCGAATAGTGATTTACAAATGATTAGTTTATTCTGGTGTTTATACTTTGAAGCAAATAATCTTCGTTCTTCCTTTACTTCTACTTCTTCTTCTTCTTCTTCCACGAAAAAATCTCGGCGACTATATTTATTTAAATCCAATAATAATAACAACAACAATAATGATAATAACGATAATAATGATAATAATGATAATAATGATAATAATTATAATGTTAATTATGATATTAATAATATAAATATTAATAATAATAATAATAATAATAATAATAATAATAATAATCATAAAAAAATCAAAATCAAAGTTTCAAATTTATGGAATATTGTGCGTAATAAACTTGGAAAAAAATCACAAATCATTAATTCAAGAATTTCCACTCGGGTTTCACCTATTACAAATGATTATTATACAGCCGATGTATTATTAAAATCGGAAACAATTCATCATATTTTATCGAAATTAATTATTAATCATTGTCCTGTCATTAAACATTTACAATCAACTTCAACACTTTTGGGACCAAGTACTACTACTAATAATGATGTAGAGATTTTATTAAAATATCCCAGAATCAAAGAATGTTTATCTAATTTAAAAATTTTTGAAAGTCGAAGTAACTTTTATCGAGGAACATCTTTCGATATTTTATCAGAGATTTGTCATGAATTACATACGATAGAAGTTTCATCATGTAATCCATTACATCTTTCAAGTGAAGATGAATTAGATGATGTAGGTGAAATACAAGCTTTATCAGAATCACAAAAGTTATCAAATTTAATAAGAGCACAAACATGTTTGAGAGAATTAATTCTTTGGAATTGTAAAGTTAGAATTTTTGATATTATTAATACATTAGTTTCGACACAACAAAATTCATTACGTACTTTTTCATTTAATCATTGTGATTTTCAAGATTCCATTTGGTTACAGGTTCTTTCCGAATTTCCAAATTTAGAATCATTAACATTTAATCAATGTATAAATCTTTCGAATCAAACTTCCACCAAACTTTATTTACCAAATATTAAAAAATTAAAATTTATTTATGGTTATATTTCACCTCAAGTATTAATAACTTTAATTGAAGCAACAAAGGATAGTTTAATAGAATTAGATACGGGAGTTCCACATTTTATATATAATTGGATAAATTTTGATTTGAGAAAATATAATTATTTGGAATCAATAAATTTATTTAAGCAAATCAAATTGTGTCATAATCTTACATCACTCACTACATATATTTATACATACACACAAGAACAATTATTAAATACTTTATTAAGTTTAGATCATTTAAAGAAATTGGTACTTACAGAAATTTGTTATTCAAGTGAGACAGAATCAAGAAATTTAATATTATTTTCTGATTTTTTACCAATATTAGCAAGTCATTTATCACCAACAGTTCAATTATTACATATTGGAACTAAATTTGGAATAAAAAAAGATGCATTGGAGGGATTTAAGAAGAATTGTTTAAGTAAATTTAAGAAGATTGGAATATTGGGAGGATTAAATTGGGATTTGGAAAATCAAAAAGTAGAATTTGAAGGAATATTTGAAAAATGGGACATTGATGATCTCAAAAGAAATTTGATACCTAACTATGGTGTTATATTTTCTGTATAGTAGTATTAGTATTAATAGTATTAGTATTAATAGTATTAGTATTAATAGTATTAGTATTAATAGTATTAGTATTAGTAGTATTAATATTTAGCAGTGAATTAAAGAAATTTTATTTATCAATTATAATTACCTGTTATTATTATTATTATCATCATCATTTGTTATTGTATTTTAAAATAAAGCAAATGAAATTTTATTAAAGAATAACTTTTCATGTAAAGAATATTTATAAAGGAATTTTATAAAGAATATTTATAAAATATGAAATATGTATCCGTAATTATTTAATTATTAAATTACCAGCATTACTCCAATTTTTAAAACTTTATTAAGTAGGTAAACAATTACAATATAAATTACAGAGAAGATTGACGTATAAATAATTATTTATTACATAACATCGAAATTCGCTATACTAAAATAGAAACTTCTTATTGTATTGTTGTAATATCATTGTTTTCCCCCTCCCCAAATGTAATGATGATTATATTATAAATATTAATGTTATTATAATAATTATTATAATTATAATTATAATAATAATAATAATTATTATTATTATTATGTAATATTATATATGAATATAATGAATATAATGTAAAATGGGTAAATATGAATTCATTATTTATACAGAATTATGTAATAATTCAATACCAAAAATATTTAAATTATTTTTTTTTCTTCGAACAACTTTTAAAAGTAAAAAAAAAAAAAAATAAAAAAAAAAATTTAATAAAATTAAATATCAATTAAAATTCAACTTTTTAAAAAACTAAAACTCACTTGTATTTTTAATTCTTCACCACTTAATTTTTCATCTTTATTAAATTCTTCAGAATTTGTCTCATCAAGTGCTTCTTTTGATAACTTTAATATTTCACCTTCTTCTACTTCTAATATTTTAACCATTTCTTCCATAGGACTTTTAAGACCGCGCGATATCTCATTATTATTGTTATTGTTGTTGTTGTTGTTGTTGTTATTGTTGTTAAAAGCATGTAAAGATTCTGCATGTAGTTGAATTGGTTTAGAATGTTTCATTGAACTTTTTCCTCCTTCTAATAATCCAATATTCTCAAAATTGTCATCATCATCATCAGAATCCCCTATTGAAAATGTAGATGAGGAGAATTCAGGTTCTGATGATTTTGTTGCGATTATTGGTGATTCAGAAGAAGGGTTATTATTATTATCATGACTATGATCATCATGAATTGTATTTGAAGAAAGATTTGAAACATTCTGTAAATGAGTATTATGTAAAGAAGTATTCTGTAAAGTATTCTGTTCTGATAAAGTATTTTGCTCCGATAAAGTATTTTGTTCTGATAAAGTATTTTGCTCAGATAAAGTTGTAGAATTTATTTTTTCTGAATTAGAAGATGAAACATTACATTTATATATCTTCTCATATTTATGTAATGCTGATGAAAGTTTATCATTCAATATCAAAAGTTCACCTGTTATTATTAAAAAAAATAAATAAATAAAAGTTAAAAATGTTATTTTATTTAAATGAAATATAATTCTTTTAAAAAATGCTAACCAAGTAATTTCTCATCTACAATTGATGAAATGTGTGATTGTATTTTTGATTGAAAATTTTGACACTGAGCATTTATTTGCTATAAAATTCATTAAAGAGAATTAAAGAGAAATATGTTAATTCATTAACAAAATACTCTTTCTTAAAACACTATTAAAATCGTAAATTACCTCAATTACTTCATTCGTCTCGATTCTTATTTTGCTTGATTTTGGAATTTCACTGGATAACATTTCCTCAAAAACATTTAAACACTCATTAGCCAATTTCATATCTTTCTTTAAATCTTCCAAATAGTAATTAAGTGATATTTCTTTGGATTCTTGGTCATCGGATAACATAGAATGAGATTTAGTCTCGAATTCCGGAAATGAAAAATTATTATTTGGATCTTTATTTTTTTGTTTTTGGATCAATTCAGTATTTCTGACACATGCTCGAAGAATATCTCTAGAAAGTCGAGCTGATTCTGGATCGTTCTGCTATTTTTATTTTTTATTTTTTTTATAATAATGGATAGTAATGAATAGTAATGGATAATAATGTAGAAAAAATACAGTTTAATAATTTTAACTAACCTGAACATTTAAATCTAATATACGAATACTCTCATTCATTTTTATTGACACTGATAATGCCATAACTCCAGCAATGTCAATTTCAGGATTAAAAGTTAAATCCAAATGAATTAATGATTTAGTTTCTGGAAGATATTCAGCAATAGCAATCGCACCTAAACTCAATATATATAAAAAAAAAAAAAAAAAACACGAAAAAAAATAGACCGGAAATTAATAAAAATCCTTTTTATTTCTTTTCTTTTCTAACTAATAAATCTTTCTATACCTTCTGTATCTAATTGTGTCTTCGATAGAAATAAAATTTTTAGTGTAGTATTAAATGTTAAGGCATTACGCAATGCAGTAATCTAATTTTAATTTCATTTCAAAATAGGATAGGAATTTCATAAAACAATAAATTTAATTTATCATAAAAGATAATAAAAAGATAATAAATAATATTTAATATAAACTTTACCCCTTCAGTTGATGGACCACCAGCTGGATTTCGGCTTAAATCAAGTAATTCCAAACATTGATTATGTCTCTTTTTTATTATTATTATTATTATTATTATGAAGAATTAATTGAATTGAATTAATTATTATTAATAATTATAATCATTTCTGTTCTAATATTAAGTAAAGTAATGATTTCATCTCAATTTTTTCTTGTTAAATTTACCAAACCATCTGCCATATACACCAATCCTTTAGGATCTATTTGATTATCTGGCATAAATAATTCTTTTATGCTTCTATTCCGTCGTAAAGCTTGCGAAACATATTGAATTCCACTCTGGAATATTTTTGGATTATTTAAACATTATCAGATGAAGTAAATAAATCAAATAAATAAATTAGATATAAATTGGAAAAAATTATTACTTTCAAATCATTTCCAGTAATATCCAAAGTTTCTAATCCACGTTTCCTTCGACGTGATTTTTCTGCTAGTTCTTCTTCAAATTCATTAAATGTAGGTAATGTCGGACTAAATGAAGGATTATTTGGTTCCCAATTTAAATCATCATAATCTCTTAACATCACTCCAATCCATACTGCACCAACATGATTAATTCGATTATATCGAAGCGATAAATATCTTAAATTAGAACGACGTATACCAGGTCCTAAAATTTATAATATAAAATAAATAATAATTTTAAATCAAATTTCTTTTTATAAAAAAACTTTACATATGGTCGATAAAATAATATGAACCAAATTTATAATGAATGAAAATGATTAATTACCCAAAGTTTCCAGAACATTATTCTTTAATCCACAATTATCCAATTTAAGTGTCTCCAATATAGCACCTGACTTATTTATTCCCGATGTGAAAGCTTGTGCCAAAAAAGTTACGGATTTTTTATCAATATTTATACCGGAAAGGTCAAGATATTTCAAACTTTTTGACTAAATTAAATTATTATTATTTATTATTATTATTATTATTATTTTATTTTTTTTAAAAAAAAATAATAATACAGATTTAAAAGATTTCAAATTATTTACCTTTTTTATATAGACAGCGATATAATTAAACCCATTTGATCTTATCCTTTTATTATTCGACAAATTTAGGTGTGAAACGGTATCATTCACTAGTAGGCTGTGAATAAGGATTTTAAGAGTCTTATGGAAAATAAGGAAATATTGGAAATTAAATAAAAAATAAAATAATAAAATAAAAAAACTCAATTATTTTTATATCACAAAAAAAAAAAAAAATACTGGAAGAAAAATACAGAAATTCACCTACATCATCCTCAATCTCACATCTTTCCAATATTAATTTTTGTAATCCAAATTCTAGGGTAAATACATCTGCCATTGGTTCAGCTATTCTTCTATCAATTATATCACCTTAATTTTTATTTAAAAAAAAAAATTTTTTTTTTTTTTGTTAATTTTTATTTATTCTAAATAATAAATCCTTTTCACCATCATACACAATATGCAAATAAATTAACAAAAAGCAAACCTGTTAAATCAATTATTTGCAATAATTCTCCTGGTCGACATGCTTTCTAAATAAGTTTATAAAATTAAAAATATAATTAATATTAATATAAAAAGAAAGCTAATAATTGAGTAATAATAGAATAATAAGATAATAAGAGTAAATACCTTGAAAATAGAAGTCAGACGATCTAAAGGAAAGTCTTCTCGATTATTACATGCTGCCAAATAATATTGTACAACTTCTTCCGCCGAGTATACCTTTTGTTCTATCTTTGGTTGTGTTTGTGTTTCTGTTTTTCGATTTTGTTTTTCATCCCATTCATGAAAATCATATTCATCATCCCAATCACTATTATCACTATCTCCAGGTATAGGTGAATGCGGATATTCATCTGTCAATTTCTCTACAGAAAAACGAACTCTCTTTAATGATTTTTGTGTAAGAGGTGAAGAAGGAGGATATTGTTGTTGACCATGTGATTGTGAAATTTGATCTGCTGGATGATGACGGTCATTTGTTATTGAGGAAGTGGATGATGAAGGTGATTTTAATTGTCGTTGTTCTTGATATTCCTCTTGTTGTGATGATGAATATGATGTTGCAATTTGAGTATTAAGACGTTTTAAAGCATTTGAAAAAAATGAAGTTGGTGACGGTGATGCACTGGTGGGTGATGTATTTGCAACATTTTGAAGACGCGTATTCAGTGAAAATAGCCAATCTCTTTTCCAAATTGATCGCGAATTAGGTTGAGATGAAGGTTTCAATATTCCTTTCTTTGGGGGTTGAACGTCAGAAGCGGATATAGGTCGTCGATATGGTGCAAGTTTTCGTTTTGGGTAGCTTGATGTATCCTCTTTATTAAGGGATCGCTTCTGTTGTTGTAATAACCATTGTAGAGTAGCGTCAAATCCAAGATTTTTATTTTCTTCTATAGCTAATTGAGCAATAGAGAATTCAAAACCCATTGAAATTAATTGTGCTAAAGTACTATCAAATTCTGTGTTAGCTTTTTCTTCGTCATCATTTAATTTTGTTTCAACTTGTTCGTCATCTTTTAATGAGGTTGTTTCAACTTTCTTATCATCTTTTGATGAGGTCATTTCTATAGCTGTTGAAGGTAATACTGTATCAACTGGTTCAAATCCTTCATTTTCATTGTTTTTGTTTTCTTGTGTAAATGATTGGGTTAATTCTTTATCTTTTTGTGAATTTATTTCATTGGTTTCATTTTCCTGTGAATTTAATTCATTATTTTCCTGTGATGATGATTTAATTAATTCTTTATCCATTTGCGAATTTATTTCATCAACTGAATATTCTGAAGACTGTGGTCTTAAATTTTGAGTGTTTACTTGATGAAATTGTTGTTGGTTGTCGTCACATTTCTCATTATTACAATTCTTCTCACTTAAAAATTCATTTTTTTGTGATAATGAACAATCTTTGTTAGTATTCTGACTGTTATCCATGAATAATAGCCTTTAAAAATTTTTAAAAACAAAATTAAGTTTGGTTTTTAATACAATAGTTCTCTCAATGGTTTTTATTAAGAATAAAGTCATGAAAATTTTCGATACATGTAATGCAAATATAAATATTTTTATTTAAAAATAGATCAAATGAATATTTTTTATCTAAAAAAGTATTCTTTGAAAAATAATTTCATTTACTATAAGTTGAATTTTAGAGAGTGAAAAAACCGATAATTGTAAATATCAAATTTGGATAAATGAAATAAGGAACAAGTTTTGAGGCGAAGTCAAATGACTAGATATGTCACATAGTAGGCTTGGAAAGACTGCGGAACTAACTTATTTGATTCTTTCGAGTGTAGTGCTATTTTCGAACAAATAACAAATCAGTTGTGAGAATATTTAGTACGACTACTATAAAAACAACTGACAGGGCCTTGGCTAATCATTCTCCCAGGTCAACTGGGAAACGGTGGGCCGAACCGTAAATTATTTTTTAGCTTTAGCTAACTCTTTTATGTAATTAATTGTTTTTATAAATTGTATATATCTGATGAGTGAGGCCTCCGTTGGTTTTAAAAAAAAAAAAAGAATATATTTAGTGTGACATTATATTGATGATCTCGGAATTGCCATGAAAATAAAAATCGTGTGATGACACCCGTTTCATCTGTTCACGTGATATAATGTTCTTTAGGAGACGGATTTTTTAAATGTAGATACTGGCGGAGCCTGGTCTTCCGCGGGGAAGGAATCAGCACCTTGCCACTTAATAGTCGCACGCTCTACCGTTTAAGTTAGAAAGGCTTATAATTTATTTCATTTCTGCTATATATATTTTGTTCAAATGCGATTATCTAAAAATTTATCTGTAAATAAATTATGTAAATAATTTAAATTTGAAAAAATATTTAGAAAAACTTAAGTCGTGAAATAAAAAAAAATATATTATTGAAAAAGAATATTTTAAAAAAGATAAAGAAATAATTTAAATTTCATCCATAAAATTCAAACTCTTTTACTTAAATCATCAGAATGTTTTTCGTAACAATTTAATAAAATTTCTATCACTGATAAAGGTCGGATTCCCCAATTTCTTAGAATAATAGATACTTCAGAAAATTAAATTATGAAAAAAAAAATTAAAATAAAAATTTTAATATATAAAAATAAATTATAATAAATCATAATAAGGTATTAAAAATAAAATTACATAAATCAAGAAATTCGGACCCATATTCTTAAATGCCATCGCCATCACGTATTTCCAACCAACCACCAGGTTTTAAAATTCTAACTAATTTAGGAAAGTTCTGGAATAAATGTAAAAAATCACGACATTGATTCGGGCTAAAGAGTAGCCATTGTCAATATCCAATCTGCAGAACCGCAACTAAAAATCTTGTAAAAGAATTGCTTGTTTCAATTGTATTTATAAAAAATAGGAATTTATTTTAAACAATTGAGATTTTTCTGTCGCACTATCAATTATTCGATAAATATAATTGTCATTGAGTAAATTGACCAATCCTTCCAAAAAAGGATCTCGACAAATACTGCTTTCTTTGACAGTAGAAGAGCAAGAGGAGAAGGAGGAAATAGATAATTTGATTATTACCCATGATAAAAAACACGAATTTTAAAGAAATGAATTAGAAAATATTTGTTTTTTTATACTTTATTATACAATAAATATTTTAAACCAATCGAAAATTTGAATTCGAAATTTAATGCAACGTTAGTGCAACCTAATGTAAACAATAAAATCATCTGCAAAAAAATTCTGAAACTAAAAATCTTTGAAACTCAGGGGTAAGGAAAGGTTATTACGTGCTTTAAAAGAAAGGTGAAACAAATAAACTTATCTACATAAAATTAATTGGTCTAAACTAAATTTGATCATAAATTTCATTGGTTTTTGACCATAAATTCTGACTATCTGAAGGGAACTATCATATTCATCTAGTATGCGGAAACATAAAACGTGATCAAAATTTAAAAATGCAATTATGTTGGTTTTGAGATCATAATGACGCAAGCTCAAACATTTGAGCAGGGAAACCTGGCGTCGTGGCCTACCACGCTCAACCCGTAAAAGAGGTTGTTCTATAAACCAAATACTAACGGTGTCTTTTATCGCAAATGTTTGGTTTTTCTGTAGGAGACCAAAATTTTTTTTTATTTATTTATTAAAAGGTAATGTATATATGTTTGTTTGTATGCATATATTTTTGTCCATTTACATATCTACAAGAAAAATCATTAAATATACAAAATGTGAATGTATGCTCAAAGTATCAATGAATTATGGCAAAAAAAAAAATGTCAATTCTTTGAAATATAAATTTTTACAACCATTTTTTTGGAATCTAATATATTTAAGAATAAATGGATAAATAAGCAAAGGTTTAAACAAAAAATGAATAATTTTATATAAAAAAAGAAGAGAGATATATATACACAAAAAGGGAAACTGCAGAATTTTCATCCTTCCTTAGGTCCAACCTTAGAAGCTGAAATATTCTTTCGTTGTATTTTCTTTAACGCTTCAATTTTTTTATTTGCTAATACATTTCCTCTAGCAGACGCATGCTGATAGCACTCTATTGCTTTTGCCAAATTCTTTTTCACTCCTATTCCTTCTTCATAACATCGTCCTAATTCTATTTGACTCGTGGTATTACCTGCTTCTGCACTTTGCAAAAACTGATCAAATGCTTTCTTTAGATCTTTCTCTGTACCATATCCACGTTCATAACAAAATCCTAACATCCATCTACCACGAGAATTCCCATTTTCAGCTGATTTTTGCAATAATTCGAAAGCCTTTTTTCGATCAGTTTTAATTCCCTGACCTAAATAATAACAACGACCTAAAAAGTATTGACCTATGGCGTCACTGGATTCGGCAGATTTTTTATATGAATTAAAGGCCGCTTGTTTATCTTGAACTGTACCTATGGAATTCTCATAAAAGAATCCTATAATTGAACAGAATGCCGGATTATCTTTATGAACGATCAAAGATTTGAATGTGGATTTATGTTCGCGACTTTTATTGTGTAAATAATCCTTGATGCTTGAGATCATTGCCGTATTGTCACTACTTATCTCCAACACGTTAATAAAGAAATTTAACAAATCTTCAAAGAAAGCGGTATCTGCATTGTCAATAAGCCTTTTATTTACAGAAGAAATTGGAGTTGTGGGTGTAGTGGGTGTTGTGGGATCGTTATTGAATGAGCTACGACGATTTTGGGGTTTTCGTCCAATGTTAAATGAGTTAGGTCTTTGAATTGGTTTTGTTTTATCTATTGTATGTTTTTTCCCTCCCATTTCTTTAGTGGGAGATTTCTTTCCTCCCATTAAAATAGGAGTAGTGGGAGATTTCTTTCCACTCATTCCTAAAATAGTAGTAGGAGATCTCTTTCCTCCCATTTCTATAGTAGGAGTAGTAGGAGTAGTAGGAGTAGTAGGAGTAGTAGGGGAAGTAGGAGTAGTGTGAGTAGTATGAGTAGTAGGGGTAATAGGAATATTAGGAGATTTCTTTTCTCCTATTTCTTTAGTAAGAGATTTATTAGGAATTTTCTTTCCTCCGATTTCAATAGTAAGGGTTTTTCTCCTTCTAGTTTCCTTAGTAGGCGATTTCTTTCCACCTATATCCGTTGGAAACTTTGTAGCAGAATTTGAAATATTTCCATTGTTATTTGGATTTCCTTTCAATGATAATTTTTCATTTGATATTTTTCTCGTTCTTATTGGTCTAGTACTTCCAATTCCACACTTAATTTCGTTTGAGACATTAATTCCTTTTGAGTTTTCATTATTTATCGTACTAAGGCAATTATCTATGCTTTTCTTTTTTATTGGCACCACGATTTTTGATAATTTTTCGTGTACCTCATGAATAGTCGGTCGTTTGTTGGGATCGTTTTGCCAACATTGTTGATAAATATCAACATATGTCACTGGAGTACCTTTAACAGGTTCTTCACGTTTTCCTTCAGAAATCTTTGTGGCAAGTTTGTTTTTGGACATACCATTTGATAATTCTAATGATGAGGATTGAAATGGTGGACGACCGCCTTTTTAAAAATAATTAAAAATGATATAATTGGTGCAATAATTAGATAATAAATTTATAATTAATAAAATTAATAATCAAAAAAGGAAAGTTTGCATACTTGATATTTCCCATAACAATATTCCTACACTAAAAATATCTGATTTAGTGTTTCTCTTATGACGTGAATTCTTCAAAATTTGTGGGTCAGTATATCCAATTTCATTTTTTTTAGCTTCAGACATCTGATTAAATTGATTGGATAATCCAATATTATAAATTTTTATTGATCCATCTTTTACTAATACATTATTGGCATTCTGTTGAGATATGAAGAGATTATTTTTTAAAAAAATTTTTTTTATCGGATTATCTATTATTAAAGGAAATTTTTATTATAGTTACCAACTCTCTTAATGGAATCTCATTATCATGCAAACATGCGACACCACTAACTACTTGTTGTCCAAGGCTTATTTTATCTTTCCATGTTAACAAATGGTGATTTTGTTGCAGATATTGACGAAGTGTACCACTGTTCGCATATTCTAAAACTAGCAAGTGTTTTTGCGAACTTAAATCTATACAACGTAAAAATGTAAAGAGATTTTTCAAAATTTGAATATAAATATAGGTTTTCATAAGAAAATAAATAAATTATAGATGAATAAAAAGAAAAATAAATACCTTGACTCACTCCAAAAAATCTTAGAATGTTTGGATGGTAATCAACTTTTCTAAGCAATTTCAACTAGATTATTTGAAAAAAAAAAAAGTTATTTAAATATTTAAATTTCTTAAATTTCTTTATCAATATTTTATTCTATTAAAAAAAAAAAAATTATTAAATTATTAAAAAAATTACCTCTTTTGAAAACCCATCCATCACTTCTCTTTCCTCCTTACTTGAAATATTCAACCAACTTTTTAATGCTACAACCATTCCTCGAATTTTCCAGTCTGCACGATACACTTCACATTGATCAGTGTCAATTGACATTATATCTGAAAATTTGTCAAATTCATGATAATTCAAATATCCTTCATCAATAGCTTGTTTAAGCCAATTTGCTACTGTTATTATTGTGGTTTCTGGCATTTTAAAGGATTTTTTCTTTGAAATTGAAATTTTATCAAAAAAAATATTATTTACAACAATAAAGTGAATAAAGAAATAGAACAGAAAAAAATTTTTTTTTTTTTGAGAATGAAGTGTAAATTTTTGGTTTACTAATATCAATCAGAATTTATAGATTGTATTTACGCCTATGATTAAACTGGATAATGGGGGTCCTGTTTTTTTTGTTTATAAAATGTTTATGGTATGACACTCGGATATGACGGAATTTGAAGCTGAGTATATGTACTACTGTGATATATATTTTTTTTTTTATATAAGATGTCTTAAAATGGTAAATTATAATAATAATTAAATTTATTTCGTTTATTTCTTCATAAATCGCACATGAAAATTCGAATCAACGATATCAACGATTTAAATCCAGTTCGTTCTATTTTTTAAAAAAAAATTCAGTGTTACCAAAACCTGTATCTATTGAAATCTGCTTAAAGTATAGTGAATCCGAGAGAATGTCATTTCAATATCATAAAAAAAAGTGTTCGCGGCGACACTCCTTGGATTAGATGTTACACAATGTCAAATATTCTTTAGATGTTCCTTGGTTTTTACACGGGATGGGGAAAGTCAGAAATTTTTTGTAAGGGAGGAAATTTTTTAAAAGTAGTCATATATTCAGGGAGAATGTTATGTGTAACTAGAAAATATTTTTTTGTTATCTTGGCAGATGACAAATGATAAAGGAGAAATTTTTTCATCAATAAAAATTTATGCAATTAAATAATTTTGCGCTCAATCATGAGATATTTTGAGATACTATATCAATCTAAATAAACGAAATTTAATAAATTATTACCTATTACAAAATTACTAATTATTGGTTCTAACGTTTAACGTTCTAACGTGTTCTAACGTCTAATATTCTTATGTCTGTGTGTTATTATTAAATGTCGTGCATGATTTATTATGTGCGTGTTCCCCACAATGTCCATTATTATGATTTTCTTCGCACATATAACAATGTCAAAAGTTATTTTTAGAGACCATTATATTTAACTTTTTGGTAATTTTATAATTGAAAATATTTCTAAGAATATCATTACATTATTAAGATTAAATCATATAAAGATCATATAATAACTTTTACGTTGAATGTGTTAACGATTATAATATAAAAAAATTCTTGTATTATCACAGAAGATTGAAGAATTGAAATGTGACTTGTGCCAGATGATTAAACAAGATCCTCAATGAGAGGGATGTGGGAATATTATGACCGATTTAACCATCGCAGTGGCTTTGACATCTAGTGGCTCCCATTAAATAAAAGCCATATAAGACTTACATTTATTTTAATTTATTGTTTTTTACCAAATCCAGAACTCGTTATCATTGTTAATATTCTGCCTAAAATGAGGAATTATAAATATTTTGTTGGCTTATAAAACTTGGCCGTTAAGAGCTACGCCACATTTTCTACTGTGAAAAACAAAAATATTTAAATATCTGACTAATCATAAATTGCAAAATCTGTGCGTAGTTAACGCGAAAACTTCCTTTCTTCTTACTTCTTCTCGGGTTTTATATTCTTTCATGTGACAAAACTTTGACCACAATACGAATATAAAGTGCGTGCGTTGAAAAATAAAAATCAAATTAATAATCATTATGGTTATTATTTAGTCAAATTTCGTGTAAATTAAAAGAATTTTTAAACAATATGTATATTATATTATTGGTACAATATTTAATTACATCAAAGAAATATATATTTAAATCTATATAAATTATTAAATAAAATCAATAAAACTTCTCTAATATTTCTAATATAAAATAATATCGTGAATCTCCACGTCTCCTTTGTCCGCCAAAATTTTTAAACATTTTATTATTCCTTCTCCAAATCTTTCTATTTTATCTTCCGCCACTGAACCTTCTTGATATGAAATAGTTATATTAAATTTATTTTCATATGTAATTGCATTCACTATAGTCGCTGGTCCATCTTTCCAAATTGATTGTGAAAATATCATATCTACTATTTCCCATCCATTAGAATTATTAAATTCTTCTCCACCTCCATTACTACCATTATCACTATAAATTGAATCACTATAATATTCTTCTCGTCCACTTTTACGATGTCCATAAAAACTACTTCGTCTACAAAATTGATTTCGATTTTCTTCAAACTTCTCTAATAAAATACTATTTCTTTCATTATTTATTATCGGTGATGTAACCTCAAATATTGGGATATCTATTATTCCATTTTCATCTAATTTTGGAAATTTTCCTAAATTTGATGGCATTATTGAAAAGGCTCTACCATTAGGATATAAATTTTTTTTATTTTTATAATAGGTTTCCAAATATTTACGATCTTTTGGTAAAAATCCTAACAATCCTATATCCCCAATTGCTTCTGGAATAGATTTTTCTAGTTGATATTTAAATGTATGACAAAGTTCCCAGAAATTAATGTTCCTAATTTTATTATTCTTGTTATATTTGATTTTACGTGATTTCCTTGAACTAGCTGATCGTCTGGAGAGTGTGGATTGACTTGATAGACGAGATGAAGTGGAATATCTTGAATTGGTAGTTGATGTAGTTGATGTTGAATTACGAGCAGAATTTGATGTCGAAGTATTAGCAGAGCTTGCTTCAGAAAATGATGGCTTAGGGAATGAATAATTAAACACTGTTTCACCAACAAAATTACCCATTTCTGTCCATGGAATATTAGGTGAAGTATATTTTCTTACCGAAACTGGTGTCATTATTTTTAAAGTATTATCAGATGCAGCCGGGGATCTCCGTTTACGATTTCTAATTCTTTTACCCCTGACTCCATTAAAACTAAAGGAAAGTAAATGATGATAGGAAGAAAATAGTATAGCAGTATTAAATAATGAATGAAAAGTAGTTTGATTAGATTTAATGACTGAAATAATTTTCTCATAATATCTTGATGGTAAAGAAAATATTTTAATTCTATTCTGATAATAAGGAGTGTTTTTAAGATGTTTATCACCCGTCCAATATTGACCCTTTAATTGTTTTTGAAGAAAAGAAGGAAGTAAAAATTCTGAACATCCTTCTTTGATAAGGGATAAAATAGAAGGTTGAAGATCGTGTAATGTTTCAATTGGATCATGCATTCTAGTGGTTAAATTTTTTGTGAGAATTTTTGAGGAAGGTAAATAAGGTTGATGAGTCTTTCGTTTGGGTGTTTCATTATATTCTTTAAAGGTTTGTTTTAATACTTTTAAGAAAGTTCCATGAATAGCAAAAGCACTCATTCCATCACCAATTACATGATGCCAACAAAAGAAGATACAAAAATCGTAGTCTGATCGTCTAATCTTTTCCATTCCATCTATGCCACTATCTTCACCACTACTTCCAGGAGTTTTATTTATCCCATATTTATAGATTCCTACAACAATTCTCCATAAAGGTTTTGATTCGTCTTCCAAATTAAATTTTAAATCATGTTCATGCTCTATTAATTTCTCTAGATCCTGATCTGAAGAAATCGAAACAAATTTTACCAAACTAGATAAATCAATTTCATCTAATTGTAAATATATTGGTTTATTTGAATTGGCATTATGAATGCAAACGGAAAGATTAGGAAGATTTTGGAGAAGGGTAGTTAAAGTAGGATAAAGTATTTGCAAAATTGATTTTTTAGCGAGTTCTGTATTCACAGAATTTGTAGTGGTATTTAATTGATATAATTCATCCCATCGATAACGAATAGTGAATCCCACGTTAGTATAATTACTAACATTTTGAAGGATAAGATAAAAACGTTCAAGATTATTGACAGGACGAATCAAAGTAGGCATTATTATAATAAGATGACCTTTTATTATTATTTATGACGAAAAAGTTCAATATATATTATTTATCAAAAATAAAATATTGAGTTGAAAATAAAAAGCAAACAGTATCGTAAATTAAAAAAAATATATATATGTACAAATTTGGCAAAGGATGAAAAATAGAAGACAAAAAATTTAAAAATGCAAAGTAGAAGAAATTTTATTAATTCAATATTTTCGTACCACAAAGAATGTAAAACCAGTAAAGTAAGTTACAGAATATATATTTTGTTTTTGTTCTTTTTCCCATTCTCATAAAAAATCCTTATAATTTCTCCTCGTGCATGATATTCTAACTAAATTAGTTCACTTAAATTAGACATTCGGTTTTTTGTTTTTTTTGAAACTAATTTTGTAACGCTTCATGTTATATACTATATATATATATTTAATCAATTATATATGGTATTATATATGGTGTACAAATTTCTACTTGTTAACCTATCGAATACAAATTTATTATTGTACATAACATTCTCATATTCATATAGAAAACAAATAAAATATTTGTTACATCCTTTCGCCATATGTCGTAAACATTCGATTCATAATACCATAATACTTTACGAGAACTGTGGGCCCTGGTGATTGTGTAAATTTTGTATCCAATTATCTGAAGGTTGGGTTATTTACCTAAATTTGTAACTTATTCCTAAAAAAGCTTTTAATTTCCAAAAATTTAAAAAATTTAGCAATTTACAATTGTATATAAATTTTATGATATAATTTCCTTTTTCATGTGGTTTTGCATATTCCCCAAAAAAAAAATTGCTGTATTCAACCTTCATTTTTAGAATTAGTAGGAAAATCCTGGATATCTTTGGGAATGTACATCTCCCACTCAATACTCTTATTTACGAATTAAAAATTCCTGTTCAACTTCCTTAAGACTTGTAAGATTTGCCTTTATATCAAGTCTTTCTTCAAGAGGTAGATAAAGTGGAAATGGAGATCGCAAAGATATTACATTTGAAGTGTTTCATTTAATCCTTTTAGGAATGCTCCATAGACATCAAAAGGTCATTCCATCTCCAATGACATGACATGATACAAAGTGAAAGTTATTGAAAAAATCATCATTTAAAGCTTCATTCTCTACTATTCCCGTAACAATTCCCCAAAATAGATTCTTAAAATCCAAGTTCAAATTCTTGAATATTTGAAATTGAAACAAAAGTAATAAATTTTCAAGTTGAATGAATAGGTTTTGTATCTTTGATAGTACCAAGAGAAGAAATTTGAAAAAGTTAAATATAAAAATCATTGTTTTTATTGTTTTGTGAGTTACAAAAATTAAATTCATACTGCAAAGAAAAATTCGAAAATTCTAATTTGTATACACCCGAAACATAAGAAATATAAATAAAATTAATAAAATTAAAATTTAATATAAGAAATACATAAAAGAACTAATAAATATGCTTATAAAATCAAAAACAAAAAGGAAATTCATTAAGACGACGCTACAGCCAGAAAACCAACCAACCAACTCTTTTTAATTTTCTTTTTGTATTGTAATGCTAAGAATCGATATTTCCTTATTAGGAGAATATATAGAGAATGACTAGCCAACAACAATTTCATTTAATACATTCGGATGATATAACCTAAAATTAATGTTGTCACATTAGATATCACTTATTTAAAGATTTAAACGAATAAACTGGGCAACAATGTAGTTCTTTTTGGACATTTGTTCTATTTGATTTATTTTCACTTTATAGAAATATTTAAGCTCTCTAAATTACATTAAACACAAAATTTCTGGAGGAAAATCGTTTTAATTTTTTGTCGTCTTTCAAGTTTGGGACTAAATTATCATTTTCACAGTACATTATTTTCAAAAAAAAAAAAAAAAAAAAAAAATCTTATTTATAAAAAAGGTATAATACTGCAAAATTTTAATAGGATGTAAAATTTTTTATATTAAAAACATAAAACATCATAGTGTAAAAAAAAACTCCTATTACTTTTATTATATAATTTGATCTGGATATTTTTTTTTGCGTATTCCATAATATTATGCCAACTTACACTCCATCACAAATCTTTTACCTCTCATTACATTTTACAAGTATCTTCCTAATTCTAGTATTGAACATTCATCTCTTTCGTAGTAAACCTTTCATTACAAAATGGACTCTCATACAAATCTGTCTTTCGCTTCTGGGATATTCATTATTTGCCATTTCTTCATTAGTAATTTTTGGGGATCGAATCCAATCTGAAGATTCTGAAGAATTATGTTCAATATTAGCCAAACTCACAACGTTCTTTCATTACCCAGTAATAACATTCACTTCAGTACTTAGTTGTTATCTCTGGTTTTTAATAGTAAAAACCAATTTAAATTTAGAAAAAGTTACTTTGCGGTGGATTTCTGCGATGATTTGGGGTTGGTCGCTAGTATATCTTTTATTCATAATAATAATGGCAAGAGATGAAAGAATGGTAAAAACAACAATGTATTGCAAATTACAAGTTAAATGGTATAATTATTATGTTTATTGGACTGTAATGAGCATATTGATATTATTTAATTTTGGATTTGGAGGTATATTTGATGTATTTGATGAATTTAATGTCTAATATCTTCGAATATTTTATAATGCGAAAAAAAAACAATTATATAACTGTTAAAATTTTTTTGTTTCTTTACTTTCATAAATCAGGTCACTCAATATACATCCTTTATAAACGTTGGAGTATCTTTAAAAACAAAAAAAATCGGCAAACAGCCATTAATTTAGGTTATTCGGTACGCGTCGCTGCATACATAAGTTTATATACATTCTTAATGTTATCGTATCTCGTATCTGATACTATTTCCATATCTAAGAGTAAAGAGACAAATGATTTGTTGGATAAAGAAGTTCATATTGGTGATTTTACATCAGCTTTAAGGCAAGTATCATGAGTTTCTCTACCTACTTTATTTTCAACTTCTCTATATTCATTTATCCTTTTTTTTCAATGTAATAGTGGTACATTCTTATTTCTTGTATTTGGTACCACCCGTTCTGCAACTCTTTTCATGCCGTGTTGTTATTACTCACAGCCCGAATCACTTGAACTCAAACGTCAAGAAACACAATCGACGAATGACACGAATGTAGAGAATACTACTGAAACGATGACCAGTGTGATAATTCTAGATTTATCACAGGATTTTATTAACCACTATAATGAAATTTGATGTAAATTTTGAAAAAAAAATACAATTAAAAATAGGAGACAATATATTTATGATATCGTATAATATATTAATTTCAATAATTTTAATAATTTCAATGGATGAAACAAGAGAAATGTAATATAAAAACAATGCAGGTTTGCATATATTAGATTAGTTGTATTTTTTTATCTTTATTAACAATGTACATTTTTGCATATTCTTTATTAATTATTAGAAGAATTTATATAATATACAGATAATGAATTTAAGACTTTTTTGCATTTACATTTACATTTATTTATATAGTTTATTTTACTAAAATAAAAATCGATATTTGAAAGGTGATGACATACAGGGTTTCATCTGTTCATGTGAATGTTCTTTAGGAAAAAGAACGAGCTAACTGACTTGTCTGGCGAATTAGCCAAGATAAAAAGATATCTTTCAGAAAAAAAAAAAAACTTTAGCTCAGTTCACGATCTACATACACACAAGTCGACTCGCCTCGTCAATTTTTGTACGTAGATCAGAACTGAGTGGCCTTTCGCGGGGATTGAACTCGCACCTTGACATTTAATCGTCGCATGCTCTACCGTTTAAGCTAGAAAGGCTCATAGTTTATTTCATTTCTGCTATATACATTTTGTCACATGCGATTATCTAAACATTTATCTATAAATATCTTATTAGTGTTATTGTTTTACATCTCTAAATAATATTGTAAATCATTTAAATTTCTAGAAAAAAACTTAAATGCTTACATAAGTTGTGAAATATATTATTGAAAAAGAATATTTTTTTTAAAAAAGAAAGGTAAAGAAATAATTTAAATTTCATGCATAAAATTCAAACTCTTTTGAGCATATAATCTACATAATTCAATTGAACTGTCGCATTCACGAAATTCTTTTTTTATATTTGCCAAAGTTTCATCAAATTTTTCTGAATTTATGCTAGTAAATTCCAATAATGGCCGTTTAATATGAGAAATAATATGATGGAAAGTTGAATAGACCTATATATATAGAGGGTCAAAAAAAAAGTTATTAATTTATAAATAATTATATTCGTATTTATGTTTCTCACCAATTCTTCTTTCGTTTTCAAGACTTTACTTTCACTATGAAAATCATCAAAATGTTTTTCGTAACAATTTAATAAAATTTCTATCGCTGATAAAGGTCGGATTCCCCAATTTCTTAGAGTAATAGATACTTCAGAAAATTAAATTATAAAAAAAAAAAAATTAAAATAAAAATTTTAATATATAAAAATATTAATTATAATAAATCAGAATAAGATATTAAAAATAAAATTACATAAATCAAGAAATAGCTTCGAATTCGGACCCATATTCTTAAATGCTCTTCCATCGCAATCGCATATTTCCAACCAACCACCAGGTTTTAAAATTCTAACTAATTCAGGAAAGTTTAATTGTTCAATGTTTTTTTCTGGAATAAATGCAAAAAAATCCATGACATAAATATAATCAAATTGATCATTTTCAAATGGTAATTCTTTACAAGTATCTATGTGTACAAAAGATACATTTGAAGGCATACAATTTGTTGGAAATATTTGTGAGGAATCTACTCCTGTGAATTTTGATTCGGGATAAAGAGTAGCCATTGTCATTATCCAATCTGCAGAACCGCAACTAAAAATTTTGTAAAAGAATTGCTTGTTTCATTATAATTATTTTTTTTTTCGAGAATTCTGAGAGGTCTTACCCATATTCGAGAACTTCAATTCCACCTAATTTTAAATTTGTGTTTATTGGTGAAGAAAAATAGGATTTCCATGATAGAAAAGATAACTCATTTAACAATTGAGATTTTTCTGTCGCACTGCCAATTATTCGATAAATATAATTGTCATTGAGTAAATTGACCAATCCTTCCAAAAAAGGATCTCGACAAATACTGCTTTCCTTTTCTTTTACAGTAGAATAAAAGCAAGAGGAGAAGGGGGAAATAGATAATTTGCGTTTATGACGTTTATGACGAAAAGATTGACTATTGCCCATGATAAAAAAACACGAATTTTAAAGAAAAAAGATAAATTGAAAATAATGAATCAGAAAACATTCGATTTTTTATACTTTATTATACAATAAATATTTTAAACCAATCGAAAATTTTGAATTCGATTTAATGCAACGTCAGTGAAACCTAATGTAAGCAATAAAAACAATCCGCAAAAAAAAAATTGTTTAGAGGTGAAACTAAAAATCTGTGGATAAGAAAGATTTGCTATGTGCAACCCAGGAGTAAGGAAAAGTTGAATTAAGGTTATTACGTGCTTTAAAAAAGGTGAAACAAATAAATTTCATTATTTAACTGGTTTCACGATAAAAAAGAAATTTTTTTATTTATAAATTTATTGATTTATTAACAAATAAATTTATTGTTATTTAATTTTTTTACATAAAATTAATTGATTTATCAAATAAATAAATTTATTCTTTTATTTAATTTTTATCCAAAAACTTTACATTTATCTAAAATATCCAGTCTAAAAACTAAAATTTAATAGACCAATCAACAGTTAAAATACTTCCATAAATTTCATTGGCTTTTGACCATAAATTCTGACCATCTGAAGGGAACTATCATATTCAAAAAATTCTTTATCAACTTCATCTAGTAAATCAAAATATTCTTGAGAAGAAAAAGGAGTAAATTCTATTAAAATATGTTTAAAAGAAATAAAAGTATTTTTAAAAGCTGCTTTGGCCTAAAATATAAATATATTAACATATAAAAAAACATATAAAATTGTTAATGTTTATATATTTTTGGTGATAAAAAAAAAATATTAAAGAAAAATTAGATAAGAATGTAGAGAGAAAAAAAAAATTGAGATGGGAATATTATTTTTAACTTACCAAATCTATTTCGTCACGTTTTACTATTTTATAATCACAATAAAATTTAAAATTGTTTTCTTCAAAAAGATTGATGAGCAATTCTCCTGTAGAAACAATACTAATCCCTTGATTTGATAAACTGCTAAACACTAATAAAAACCATAAAACCCGGAAAATTAATAAACCAAACTATCAAAAATATTAAAAGTAAATTAAAAATGAAGAAAAAAAAAACATACATAAATCCACAAAATATTTAGTAATTGGACCAAAATTAGGTAATAAATTTCCATCATATTCACAAACTTCTAACCATCCACCAGGTTTTAAAATTCTAAATAATTCCGGAAATATTGTTATATTGCAAGATTTTTCTGGCAAAGTTATGAAGAAACTTGAAATATGAATGAAATCAAAAATTTTTTCATTAAATGGGAATCTATTATTTATATCGGTTATATCAGATTGAACGAATTTTATATTAGATGGCATCGAATGATGTTTGATTTTATCTATGCCAGTAAATTTTGAATGAGGATAAATTGTTGACATTTCCATTAACCAAACTGCTGAACCACATCTAAAAAATAAAGATAAAAAAAATTATTTCATTGTTAAAATATTTCAAAAAAAAAAAAAAAAAAAAAAAATACAAAAATGAATAAAAAGAATGAATAAAAGAATAAATAAATCAAAGAATAATTTACCCAACATCAAGAATTTCAATTCCACCCAATTTCAATATAGTACTAATTGGTGAAGAAAAATATGATTCCCATAACTCAGATTTATTATTTTGAAATTTATTACTAAATACATCTTCATCATCATCTTCTTCTTCTTCGACTCCTTTATTATTTATTAAATTATCATTAAAATTAAAATTTTTGGTTGTTTTTATCGTTGCCGCCGAGGTGATTGGAGTATTTACAAGAGTACTATGAGGACTACGATTTTTATAACAAGAATTTAAAAATTTGGAACTTTTTGCTTTCTTTATTTTCACTTGTAATGATTGGTTAATGCCCATAATGTAAAATAATTTAATAACAATATTGAATGAATGAATGAAAGGAAATACGCATATGATGTATATATTTATATATCGTTATGTATTTATATAAATTTATGTTTGGGGAAATTTTAAATAAGTTTTTTTTTTAAAAAAAAAAAAAATCCCGAAACTTAAAAAAAAAAGCTTAAAACTTATAAAAATATTCATTATTCACGGAGTTACCATCATGGGTTATACATAAAACAGTCCGGAAATTTTTGATAAATCAAGTTTTTTATGTAATAATATAATCACAACCGTTAAACATCGAATCTATTACTAGCATACGGAAAAGACCTATCACATAATAATTTAATCCCATGTGAATGAAAAAAACTGCAAAAAAATATTCTCATGAGTTATCAATTGTTTTTTTCGTTTTATAAATTTCAAGGTTTTAATTGGATTGTTAAATAATAATAATAACAAACAAATTTACGCAAATTTCTACTTAATTGGTATTTTAAAATTTAAAATTGTTACAATTTAACAAATATAAATTTAAAACATATAACTTGTATGTATAAAATGTATATAATTAATCACGGGATCACAAACTCGTCCTACGTTTGATCCAATCGAGTGTTTTAATAATAACTATATGGGGGAGGATGTGAGTAAAGAAATGAAACGTGATGATGTGGAAGTGGAGAGAGTAAAAAATGGAGAATTAGAATGTAAAATGATATAAAATGTAAATTTTCGAAAATGAGAAAGATAAAAAACTTTAACAAAATATTCAAATATCCAGTGTTTCTAAACAAATTTTTTTTAACTTTGTATACTATATTATTATATTTGACATATTATACTTATAACGAGTTAAATTAACTTTAATATTAATTAACTTTAAATTTAAACTTTAATTATTTATAATTGAATATAATAAATAAACATGAATAAATTTATCGAATATTTATTACGTAATTTTATCTTATGTTCTAAATAAGTAATTTCCAAATAAAGTCTCATTCAAATATTTTCAATAATACCAAAACGAGAAAAAGAAACACAAAGAAAGAATTTATATAAACAAAATATTTATTTAATAATATCTGATATCTATTGTTACCTTTTTTACTTTTTTTCTACTTTGCAAAACAATAAATAATACAACAACAACAATAATAATACATAATAATACAATAATAATAATAATAATAATAATAATAATACAGTACAGAATTAAAAATCTTCTTCAGTAATTTCGAATTTCTCTTTTTTATCATTTTTAAAGAATGTAACATAAATCCATTCTATTAAATGTGATGCAATGATCAACGTTGAAAGAACCAATGTGAAAAATGGAATTACGTTATACTCTATTATGGTTCTTTTGTATAATATCTGTTAATAAGAATAAATGAATGAATAATAATAAATAAATAATAAAATAAATAATAATTATAAAGGATAATAATGATATTAATAATCAATAATAAATAAATAATAAATATTAATAATCAATAATAAATAATCAATAATAAAATAAATATTAAATATTAATAATTAATAATAAATTAAATATTATTAATAATCAATATACAAATATAATAATACTTGCCTGTATAATCCATTGCCCTAAATCTCTAACAAAAAACAATACAACACTTTTCCAAAATAAACAATATTCTACCGGTTCGGAATAAACAACTCCAAAATTTGTTTTGTCCAAAAATTTTAGAATCCAATAATTCAAAAAATGATAAATCGATAAAAGAAAATAAAGTAACCAAAATAGATAAAATATTATGATTTTGAAAATAATGATAGAAGAATTGATTTTCATTAATTTCATGAACTAAGATTAAAAGAGATGATGTGACGCATAATGATATAGGAAGTGAAATAAATAAAATGCTAAAAAATATAATAAATATAATAAATATAATAAATATATAATAAATATATAATAAATATATATAATAAATATATAATAAATAGATATAATTAATTATTATTAAGTAATTATTATTAAGTAATTTGTTAATTTACCTTGGACCATGTAACCATTGAACATCTCTTCCATGATATATAACAAATAGTAGATCAAATACAAAATCAACTAATATAATGAATAATTTAAGTATAATCCAACCTCTTCCCTATATAACAATAATAATATAATAATTAATATAATAATTAATATAACAATTAATATAATAATTAATATAACAATTAATATAACAATTAATATAATAATAAATACGAATTATATTTTTTACCTCTTCTGAATCTTTTCTAGTCATGAAAAACAAAATAATAGAAATTGCTAATATAGATAATGCTATACCCACTGTTGCTAGTTTATAATTGATTTTCTCTTTTACTATTGAAGTAATAATAATAATAATAAATAATAATAATAAATAATAATAATAATAATAATAATAATATAAAATAATAGTTGATAATTTAAATATAAATAAATATAAAATAAAAGATAATTTAACAATAATGATATAAATAATATAAAATAATAATTTACCTTCCCATCTATACCCAAATCCTTCATCAACATCTTCCAATTTATCCAAAAAGCTTAAAGCCGTAATTCGTTTATTCCTAATTAATGTATCTAAATTCTTTGCAACATTTATAACACTTCTTTCGGATGTAACATTTTCAATCGTTGATGTTGATGATATGGTTATAGGTAAAAGTAATTGTTTAGTGGTAACTTTTGTTTCAAATCGAAATTTAGTAGAACCAAATATACGAGTTAAAGAAATGGGAAGGATCATGGAAATTTGTGAAATTAATTGATCAACGAATAATGTTTGATCTGATTTAGAAAGATTAGTAAAAAGTGAAGTTCTCGATTCGGAAAGACGAATAAATCCGGTTATTGTGGTATCTTAAAATAATAATAAGAATATGTTATTAAATTATATTTATTAATCATTTATATTATAAATTATTATTAATATCATTCTTACCAGTAAATGTATCATTAGACTCAGCTATAATAAATTATATTATTAATTATTATTATATAATTATTATATTATTATTATTAGTTATTAGAAAGATTAGAAATATTAGAAATATTAGAAATATTAGAAATAAATAAATGATAAATAATAAATAAAAAATAATCTTACGTGTATTCAATATCCAAAATCTAGGTGAAACTCCAACAATTGCGTTGTTAGTTAATTTTGATCTAACAAAATTATCATCAAATGTTATATAATATTTACTAGATGGTTGATTAAATGTACTCTCCAAGACTGTTATTCTTAATTCAAGATTATTTATTCCTAATGAAACAAATTCTGAATTTGCCGAGAATGATTGTCTTAATATATCTCCATTACTATTATTATTGTTATTATTAGAATTTATCTGATATATTGTAATATTTCCCACAGAAATAATTATCGGTTTTAAGAATGTTATTGTGAATGATGTTGTTCCTAATGGGACTTGAACATTATTCGGTAAAGATGATGTAAAGATGTTTGGACTTATGAAACCTTCATCTAATATAATATGAGATAATATATTAGATATAATATGATAGATAATATATTAGATATAATATGAGAGATAATATATTAGATATAATATGAGAGATAATATATTAGATATAATATGAGAGATAATATATTAGATATAATATGAGAGATAATATAAGAGGTGATATAAGAGATTATGTAAGAGATAGTAGAATAGATGATAGAATAGAGATGATAGAATGGAATGGATGATAGAAGAGATGATAGAATGGAATGGATGATAGAATGGAATGGATGATAGAAGAGATGATAGAATAAAAAATATAACTTACCATCAAAAACTTTCGGTAAATCAGTCGAAATAATTGACCAAACTGAACCATTCTCATTATTCTCATTACTCTGAACCAAAAATACAGTATTATTTATAAATATTCCAAATCCCCCTGAATTTGAATTTTCAGTCGTATTCGAAATCGCGTTGGTAGTTAAATTAGCAATAGTAAAATTTATTGGTATATCCCATTCCGAATTAAAATTATCTTTAGAATCAAAAATTTGACCTATAATTCCAATATTTGTAAATATTCTTAATAAAAATCCTCCATAATATAATGGATTAAATTTTATATCAATTACACTAACCCTTAAACTACTACTAGTGCTATTATCACCACTATTATTATTATTATTATTATCATCATCATTACTAATTAAAATACTTGTAATATTCGGTTGTAATTCATCAACTTTAAATACCAATCCCGTAATTAAGAATTTTACAGTAACATGAAATACATTATTAGTAGTAGTAATATTATTATTATTAGTATCATTGAAAGTTATTAATTCTTTTCCAGTCAAAATACATTTAAAACCTGATCCTTCAAATGATTCTATTCCACAATCATTTATTTCTAATAATGATAAAGTTGTTGTGGTTTGATAAATTGGAAATGGATAATTAAATTCATTATTGTCTTTTATTAAAAACGCCACAAATGCTGCTGGTGTCGTTGTATTAAGTGATAAAGCTGATAATGTAATACCAAAATTATTATCAATTGTTGAAAATGTGGTGTAATTTAGTAAAGTTATTTGACTATTATTATTATTATTATTATTATTATTATTATTATTATTACTATCACTATTGGGTAATGAAAAAGTTCCAGTTCCATTTATTGAAATATTTGGTGGAGAATTAAAATCTAGTGTGGTATTTAAAACTAATCTACAAAGAATAAATCAAATTAAATTAAAAATTAATTAAATAAATTAAATAAATTAAATTAATTAAATAAATTAAATAGTCATTTGCTTACAATGAATTAAATCTAACCCAATTAATTGAATTAGAATTGTTGAATCGTAATGTCCATAGAAAATTGTTATCATTCGAAACTATTCTTGTAGTTATTAATTCTAATTCACTGGTTAAGAATGGAACACTTAGAGGAGAAAAATCTCTAATATAATAAATAAATAATAAATAATAAGCATTTTTTGAATATTTATTTTAATTCAATAATTTTTTTTTTTAAAAAAAATACCTTTTGTAAACTATTCCATCCCATCCAACTATCATCGCCGAAAATTGTACCCACGAATCAGACGTCGAATTCGACGTCTCCTCCAAATAAATAACTAAATTAAATCTTTTCATCGTCAATGGATAAATTTCAATCTTACTCATCGGACAAAAATTTACTTGAGAAAAACCATATTGAATATCATTTTCTATTATTATCGTTTTTCCATCATTTGTTTCGAAATATCTCATTATTGCTCTTGATTCGGCGCATGGTTTATCAGGAAATTTTTGGATAAATTGTAATATTATTGTGTCATTATTACCAATGTTATTATTATTATTATTGTCGTTGTTATTATTGGAAGAAAAAGATAATGATGGTGATGGTGATGATGAAGAAAAAGAAGAAGAATGTACATTTACTAAAAACAAATAACTACTACTATTATTATTATCAGATTCTTCTTGATTTGTATATATCGTTAAAGATAATGTCGGTGAATAATTCCATGTGATAATAATGAAAAGTATAAATATATCTATAATTTTTATAATTTTTATAATGTTCATTATGTAATCGATACATTCATTAATTTTATATTTTAATTGGATTTAATTTTACAATAATTTATATAATATTTTTATGTTATATAATTTACGAAATTTAAATATCAGATAATTTATAAAAAAAAAAAAAAAAGGATAAAATATAAATAATACAAATTCAAAAAAAAAGAAAAGAGAAAAAAGAAAAGAGAAAGAGAAAAAGAAAAGGTAAAGAAAGAATGAATTTGGAATTTTATTTATAGTAATTATCATTATTATACCAAATTATACAAATTATACCAATTCTCCATTCATGTCATGCATTATTTGACGCCAAAAAAACAACTTTGCATTGTTTGATATTGTTTTTGAAGAGATCTACTTAACGACAATGACATGAACATAATGGGAAATAATAATATTAATATTATTGTTATTTTCCTGTTCGAGAGAAAGAGGAATCTATATTTGACATAAATTGAAAAGATTAAAAATTACTATTTTTCGTGAGATTGACGAAAAATTACGAAGAAAGTTAAGAGATTGTGAATTACTGATTCCTGCTTTATAAATGAACATATACCTTTTTTTTTTTATTTCAAATTTCAACAATCAAATTTCGTGAAACTAATTTTAATATTTAATCCATTTTTAATTTCTTGTAAAGATGAAGATTCAACTAAAAATTAATTTTCCAGTTTAATAAATTAAGGAAAAAGTTATTTGATGAGAGAATTGTTTTGATAGTATCTTTAATGAGTTTTAAATTCGTAATAACAATAATAATATTTAATAAATTATAATAATAATAATTAATGGCTAATAATAGTAATTAATAACTAATAATTATTAATAATAGTAAAGTTAACATGTAAATAAAAATGAAAACTTCCTTCGTATTTTGTACTGAATTCTATCTAAACGTAAAAGCGTTACACAAAACTTGTAAAGAAGAAGAATATGAAAATTTCGACTACGGGACATTGCAAAATGGTTGAAAAATCAATATTTATTAGCAATCACAAAAATGTAAAGCTTTTCTAAGATAAAAATTCCTAACAAAGTTCATCATCAGTGTAATATGATCAAAATAGCTGTACTGGTTATTGATGCTGCCACACATTTCAAGGCTGAACGTTCACTTACTTCAAGAAATAGTTTAGAAGTTATCGAAACGAAGAGATATATAGAGATCCTTCTTCTCATATGATCAATATTGATAATGCTCGAAGAATGATAAAATATAATGTTGCTATATATGTTATCGATCTTTATGGCTTTGATTAAAGCATTTAAGAAAAATATTATAAAAATTAATTTATAAATTCATTATGTTATTGAAGGTCAAATAAATAAATAAAAAATACTCAAAAATTTGGAATAAAATTTTGTAAAAAGTTATTGATTTCATGAATAATAGTAAAATCCACCTCATTAGAATGTCTCCAATACAAGCTATGTTATTAATTGAAGTTGAATCAAAACCATCTAAAAAAGTCAAGAGAGCAATTGGTATTAATGAAAAGATAATACTACCTTTTAAAACCTGGCAAGCTTGAGAAGGAACATAAACACAGAGCAACCAATCCATACTGGTCATTACGCATATATAGGATTAAAAGAGTTGTTATCAGAAAAAACCAGTATTTATATTACCTTAAGGATGAGCCTATTGAATCTTACTGTATATTTAATGGGACAGAATTTAAAAAGACCCTTTAAATTTGAGGAACTCCAGATAATCGAGGAGCCAGAAAAATTGTGTATCCACCCAATGAATTTATGTGCAAATACTACTCTACAAGATTTATACATTTTATTCGAGTTTTAAAAAAAGATCAAGCTTGCATATATGCTGAGAAATGTGGTGGACAATGTCTCAAAAAAACTAGCTGAATTAATTATCAAGAAGTATGTAAAAATAGGAAATATCAGTTTGAGTATCTATACTCATTAATTGTTAAGAAATTCAAATAGTGTCCGCTTTGCTATCATATAGCTGAGAGAAATATAAGATATATATTTGAAAATTTATTAGACAAGAAATTCTCACATATTCAGTCCCATTTTTGGAAAATTACGACTCGATGGTTTCAATGAAGAACTAAAATTGAAAATTGAATTCCAGGGAATTTAACACTATCAGTTAGTTCCGAAGCATTTTTATCCAAATGGTCAAGTTGACTTAGATTCACAAAGAAAGTGTGATAAAAAAAAATGGGAGTTATACAAAAAGAAGGTATAGATCTCGTTGAAGTCCCGATTTATATCCATTTGTTAAAATTTCTCTTATTAAAAGGTTATATATTAAATACAGATATTGAATAATTACAGTTAAAGAATAAAACCCAGTTCTTGAAGCTCTTGAAGTGCATCAAAAATTTTCCTGAATGGATCGATCTTCATATATCTTGAAATTATCCAATTTCTTCACAAGGCATAAAAGTCTGGGATAATCACATACCTACGGCCAAAAAAATCAATTTTTTTGACTTCGACCGTGATTTACGCGACAGAAAGCGATTTTCTACTAAGGTATTTCTATGACAGATCGAAAGCCCTGGTTCTTGGTTACAAGATAATATGTGTTTTATTCCTATAGCAGTGATATTCACAGAGATATTCGCGTTCGAAGTTGAACGTCCGCGAAAAATTTATCCATAACTTTTCCGTAAATTCTGCCGGAAATTTTCAAATTTAAACGCGAATATCTCTGTGAATTTCAATGCTACAGGAATAAAACACATATTTTCTTGTACCAAGAACCAGGACTTTAAATCTGTCATAGAAATACCTTAGTAGAAAATCGCGTAAATCACGATGATTATTACATATAACTTTTTACAAATAAATATTAAAAATAGCATTAACCTCAAAGGTAAATATACATCTCTTGTAAAAAGCTCAGACCTATATAATCAAAATTGAAGTAGTTGAAGTTTGAACAGATAAAAATTTTAAAACAATAATCATTTGTTGATGAAATAGCTATTGATTCTTACAGGAGATACAATTAATTTTTATCTTTGAATGGTTTTTGACATTCACTTATAATGCATTATCACATCATAATGAATAAAAATTGATTCATGCCTGATTGTTTTCAAGCACTTTTGTATAATTTGTGTTATATATATGCATGATATATTTGTTTAGTCTCAATAGTTCCACCTGTCTATTATGCACATTTAGTATGTCCATGAGCTTGATTCCATTTGAAAAGTGTAATTGGAGTGAAGAGAGTCCAGAGGAAGAAACCGATGTTACTGCAGCATCCTATGATCTAATTTACAAAAGGTCATGTACTTCATGTAAAAGGAATTTGTATCAATGTCTTTTTTATATATATTTAAATTAGTAATTAATTGATGGGGATTTATTTATATGATTTATATGGTTTATATGATTTATATATTATATATAATATAAGATTAATAAATAATCTTAAGTATATAAAGAAATTCAAATACAATAGGAAAATTTTTATTTGTCAATAAATTAGAATAAAAATATTTTTACTGTTTATAAAATAAAAATTTCAAATGCACAAAATTCCTAAAATGTTGTCGATGTTACCATTTAACGAAGAAATAAACAATTGAAAATGTAATTTCATTTAATAATAATAATAATAAGATTTCCAATACTTAAATCTTAATAAATAAACAAAAGCAAAAACTTATTATTTTCTTTGAACTACTACTAATTTTAATGTATTTTGCACAATAACGTCATAAAAAATAAAAACTCTTTTACTAACTTCATTTTTATTTATTCTTGTATAATCTCAAATTATCTTGTAATTTTAAAAAACTAGGAATTATTTTTAACTATAAATAAGGATTTTCTCACAAGAACCTTTTCAATGTCGAACGAATTTTTTTTAGAAAAATAATACAAAAACAACAAAAATGCAAATTTTCGTGAAAGTCCATTACTGGAAAAAAACGTTTACCCCAATTACCCTAGTCCGACATTGTAGATTATGTAAAATGTAAAATTCAAGATAAGGAAGGAATTCCTTGGACCAGCAGCGATTGATAAACAACTTGAGGATGCGCACAGCCTTGCTGATTATAATATTCAGAAAGAATCTACTCTCCACCTCGTTATTCGTTCTCGTAGTGGGCAATAAATATAGATGTATCATTTCTAATTCTCATGTTGTAGTTTTTATATAACATTTTTTTCCCAATAACTTGTTACTATTAAGTCTTAATCAAAAGTATTAAATTATTGTTTTTTATTTCTAAGAATATATTTATAAATCTTTTGTATTTTATTTTGATAATAAAAATGCAATAGTCAAATTGGCATAATTACGGAATTTGTTTTTTCTTTTTGATATGATATTTTGATTGGTTCTGTATTCTTTCTTCTGAAAAATCAAGTAAATTAAGAAAAGAATTAAAAGAAAGTTTCGAATTCATAATTAAATATAAAAAACTATAATTATTTACAACTATCTACTATCTACGAGTGAATATATTTTAAGAAATTATTACCTATTTTAAATAGATAATAATTTCTGTTTGAATGAATGAAAAAAATTAATTTCTTAAAATATTTTCATTCGTATTCAGTAAATAGTAATAAACAATGTAAGATAATACAGATAATATAGGTAATTATAATATACAATTTTAATTCTAAATGAGTTTTTTTTTTAAAAAAAAAAAAAAAAAAATTCTAATTAAGTTAAAAAAAATAATATATATATATATAAATGAGTTAAAAAAAAAAAAAGGAAAAATGTGATTTAAGACATTTATGAGGGTGATGTAGTCTGCCATACACTACCACCACTGATTCCTCCTCCCCCACTAATTCCATTATAACAACCTCCCCCACCAATACCACTAATTCCTCTATAACTATTATAATGACATCTTTCAAGTTCAACAATTCCACTACTTATTACACCTCTTTCTCTTATTGAAGTATTAAGAGCATTCATTCCATATAATTTATTTTTTATAAACTTTAATAACTTTTTTGGAGGTGGCATTCCTACTATCGTAATAACCCCAAATCTTATTAACACGTCTGCACAAGTTCCCACTTGCCAAGCAAAACTAGCAGGTCCACCTAATACCTGAAGTACTATATGACACGCTATAGCTAATACTGCAACGGTTCCTAATAATATTATATAATAAAAACCAACTGCCGCGTTTAAGGGATTTAGTTGTTTTTTTTTAAAATTACTTCTGTTATTATTCTTCTTATTATAATTATTATTATTAATATTAATAAGAGTACGATTTTTTGGTTTATATTTAATAGTCAAAAATATTGGTGCAAATGAATAAACAAATGCGAGACATCCCGAAATCACAAAGAATATAACCGTTATACTAAATCCTAAAGTTATTAATAATTGATCACCTTCCAACATAATCAATACAAATGAACTTATACAACAAAGATTTCCCGCAAATAGAAATATTATTGCTGCCTTATATATTGAAGTATTATAATCATCCTTGGGATAAAATTTACTAATGAATAAAAATATAAAATAGATATATTAGATAAATTATTATTAATGAATAAAGATAATAAATATAATTATTACAAATATAAATATATTACGTTTTTCCTATATCCATTATGCATATTACTAGTGCTGATGAATATATTGAAGTGAGTAATCTATCAATAAAAAAAAGATTGACTTTTTTAATATTTAACAATTAAGAATAAAATTAGGAATAATTAAAAATAATTTAAAGGAATTCAGTACTTACAAATAAGAATTATTATACCACTTAAGTTCAGGAATATCAAAAAATACTCTTGTAATTCCAAGTAACAATAATGATAAATGTAAAGGCACGCAGAATAAACTAATTAGGAAATAATAATAAAAAAAAAAGTTAATAAATGCTAATAATAATTATTCGTCGGAATGCATGCAGTGCCTGCATTATTATTCGGGGTAATAAAACAACATCCAAATATAAAATATATAATAATTAAATTTACCAAGTTATTCGTAATTTATTAGGTACAAGATAAGTTTGATATCCCATAACGACCGTACATGTTAATGCTACTATAGTGGTTACTGAAAATACAACAATTTCGGCTATCATAATTATTATTCTTATTATTCTTATTATTCTTATTATTTTTAATTCTCGTTTTATTATTCTTTTTTTCGGAAAAAAAAAAATTTGGATATGAAATATATGAAAAGAATGAAATATATATAAATATATATATATAAATATATAAATTAAAATATTTAACTAAATATAATTTAAATTTAAATTTAAAATTTTTTTTTTTTTTTTTAAAAAAAAATTAAAAATAAGCGAAAAGAAATATTTATACTACATTAATGAATAAAAAGGAGAAGAAAGCGTTGAAACTTAAAAAAAAAATAATAAACCGGGAGACATTTATATATACACCATATATATATATACATCATGTATAAATATATACATAGATACCATGTCTATGTTATGTACGCACCAAATATTTTAAAATATTTCTTGTATCTCTAAGTTTTTCGAATCTTTCGAACATCTCAAAATCTTTTGGAACCAATTGATTTGATGTTTAAATGCAAATTTCACAATGAGTTACACAAGACTTTTCATTTTAATGAATAATATCCGATAATAATTAATGACTAATTAATAATTAAAAATAAAACAATAAATAAATAAATCAAATAAAGAAATAAATAATAAAGATAATAAAAAGAATATAAAATGATGATAAAATCTGTGGGGTCATATTTATTTTATGAATGAAAAAAAAATAAATTACCACTAAATAATAATTTTTATTATTAAAAATCACTGATGTATTATTATATTACTCACCTACACATTACCTACACATTTTATTGAGTTTTCTATTTCTTCTAACTTCTCTATTTTCTTAATTTTCTTTAAATTTGTATATTTTTTGAATAATTTTTTTTATTATTTTATAATTTTTTATTTGTTATTTCCACAACACATTATAATAATTTGGTTTTGGTTATATTGTTCAACCAGGGATTAAATATTTAAATAATAAATATATTAAATGCAGAAATGATATTATTTAATGGTATCTAATATATGATATCAATTATATATTTTACGGCAAAATTAGGAAAATAAAGTTGGTTGTACTGGCAACTCTTAAGAAAATTGATAAGTAAATTGGTACGAAAATTGGTTGGTTCGAAAAAATTAATAATGAAGATTGAAAATTGGTATGGAAGATTGGTATGTTACGAAGTTCTATTTTCGTATCAATTTTCGTACCAATAATCTTTGTAGATCAGAAAGTCAAATAATCCTTGGGGAAATATACTTTATACAGTCATAAACCTTAAAAGAAAAGTGTTTTGTAGTTAAAATTAATAATATTTATGACATATTGTGAAAACATTTGAAAACATTGATAAAAAATTTAGTGGTAAAGAACCTTAAATATAAACTAAAATTTAATAAATGTATACAAAAATATTCACAATATAATTATTATACTCCTTATTATCCATAAACCCATTTTAGAAATTTAATCAATGAAGTTAAAACAGTTATAAATTATTTTTTCTAACTATTCTTTAAATTATTCCTTAACTATTTTTTCTAATTATTCTTTAAATTGTCCTTTTAAATTAATTTTTGATAGAAGTTAAATAAAGGGTAAGATATAAAATAGCTGCAGGTAAGGAAGAAAAACAAGAGAAAAAACAAGAACAAAAATAAAAATATTTTACGAACAATTTTAATTTTAGTGTTATTTTTACTTAAATATTTTGAACATTTAATTTAGTTTTATTTTTACTTTTCATTCGTAATACTTTTTAATAATAATAAATAATATAGTCGCGGGACTAGCGAAGCGATAAGATACGCCAAAGCAGTAATATATCGCTATTGTTATTCTCTTTTATTTCTTTTATATTTTTGTAATAATTTCAATAATAATAAATAATTTAGTGTAGCGGAATAACAAAAGTGATAAGATACGCCAAAGCAGTAATATATTGCTTTCGTTATATCCGATATTAAACTTTAATAAAATTTAATAAACTATTCTTTTATTTCTTGGCAAGTTACATCAAAAGTCTGTTCAGTTTTGGTAGTGTGCAAGCAGTAATAAAGATACTTTTACCACGTAGTTACACAAGTCGTGATTGTTAGTAAGCAGGTTTGGATCGACTGATTGCCTGATCTTACAACGTGAGAGTATTATTGATAAACAATATATACCACCAAGAAATTCTAAAAATGGATTTACGCAGCATAAAAAGATACATGCATGCAATACTGGCGATGAGTTATCAACTGAAAATGATAATTTTAATCTTTTTGATCGTCGGTTTCACATTTTTTTGTAATTTATTGGGTGTTTCGTAATTTCATTATATTTTATTAAATATATCTGCTAAAACATACTAGCCTCGCCTTAAATTATGTATACAAAGTATTTATTTTCAGATTATTAAACAATTGAAATTAATAAGAATTTAATCTCCTTGAGAAATAACTCATTATATATGTATGTATTTGATTTATAATATTTAATATTCATTAAGAAAAACTTACTTTTACGATCAATCTGAATTTCGCTTGATGAAAATGCATTAAAACAAAATTAAAATATTCTTTTCTAATATAAATACCTGGTACGATAAATACAAAACAAATTCGTTCAGATAATAGTGAACCTCATTTCATGAGGCAGAGTTGTTCAAATTTCAATTGCAGTTGGTAAAATAAAATATATTAAAAAAAAAAATAATAATATTTCATCTATAATATTAAATAAAACAAAACCGTAAAAACGAACAGAAATGTTTATTAGATAAAGAATAAAACCATTCAAATTGGAATATATTTAATAGTGCAATAAAAAAATATTATCGTTATAAAATATAAAAAATGGTTATTAATATTCTAGTTTCGATGTTCAAAAAATGACAAATTATCAGTTCAAGCGATCGTTAAGCGTTCATAATGAACAATAAATAATCTAAGATAAGAAAAAATTCTTTTAATAATGCATACCCTTTCCGTAAACAAACCATAATTTCTTTATCTCTAAAAGAAAAAAAAAATGCAAAAAACAAATTGGAAGTTTTTATTTTTGACACGTACACAGTCACATATAATTTATTATCGTATATGAATAATATAATGTTCTTTAATCCAGATGGATATAACAGGAAAAAAAATCTTGCTAATAAAAGATCTTCCTTAATTTTTCTATTTATAATCTTTATATCAATTGCTTTGTTTTAATCTATTGAATTTTAATTTTGTTTTGTATCTTAAAACCTAAATTATTGTTTTTATAAATAAAAAAAATACAACCTGCTAGTCTCATCAAAGATTTCACCAAACCAATTCTCCAATGTATAAAAAGTTCAATGATTATTTTGATTTTATAAAATATTTTCAAAATTAATAAAAAATTTAATAAAAAGTTAAATAAAATTCTAAAGAATTACTGTAAAAATACCCTTTATGTAAACTTTCCCAAACATTAAATTTAAATTTATGTATTATTTTTGTTCCATCTAGAAGATTATAAGAATCCTAAAATAAAGAATTTATTGAATTAATAATGTTAATATTTGATATTGACATATAAAATAAGGATAAAACGAAATGTGAATTAAAAAATATATTTGATTTATTAAAAAATACCACAAACTATATCTATTTATATATTTAGATTAAATAAAGTAAATATTTAAATAATATAAATTTAATATTGTAAATTAAAATTAAATTAATATTTGCACATTAAGCATCTTTAAATAATTCTCATTGGAAAATACGAATGAAGGTGGACTCCACTTCTCAAATTCCTCTAAATTTATATTATATATTTCAAACGACCATTTTTTAGAAATGGTAGCATCCAAAATCGATGTAAAGATAATGATTTAATATTATTCTATCAATTATGTATATACAGTTATATATAAAGAAACAAGTTATAAAAAATTCCACAAGATAACTGAAAAGTAAAATGACGCATCTCGCGATCATATCTGGAAATATTATTTCGATAAATGAATTATTTTTTTTTCTATACTTTTAATTTTTAGCATCATTATAAAATAAAATATTCTTTTGAGTTTAAGATAAAAAAACAAAATAAAAATTTATAAATTCACTTCTATGTACTTGACAAATTAAAGGTCATAATAATACAAAATTTTATTTAGTTTAATAAAATACAAGTTTAATAAAATACATCTTTTATGTTATAATTTTACATGAACAATGGTTAGGATAGATATACTATTTAGGGGACAAATCATACCAGGATTTTGGAGGATTAAGAGTTTTAATAATTTCAGGTAATTCTACAAATTGAACCAATAAACCAGCTCCAAGATGCCACTATATAAGTTCATAAATTAATCATATTAATATTATTTTTCACTGAGAATCAATAATTTTGATAAATAAACTTAATGTGACCTTACCTCCATGTGACAGTGACAAGCCCAAATACCAGGGTTATCTGCAACAAACCTTAAAACGATCCAACTAAATTATATAAATATAATTATAATATAATTAGAAAATTTGTTTATATATTAAAATTATGTACAGTCGACCCTCTCTATAGACACCTCCTGTATAATCACATCATATAAATCCCCGTTATAAGCACACCTTTTGTAAAGACCAATAACTATTATGCTATGTAAAAAACCCTTCTATAATTACAGGATTTTTATAGTCACACCCCCTTTAGAACCAATACTTAGTAATACTATATAAAATTCACTTTTCACTATAATCACACTTTTTATTTTTGGTCCCGAGGGATGTGCCTATGAGGGGGTAGATTGTAATATAAAATAAATAAAATTATAATTACCCGTCAGCAGGCATTGTTGTTGTATCTCTTTGAATAGGATTAATAGTATTCAATTTGTCATACTCGAGTTTTTCATCCTTTTTACCCCATCCCAGAATCCAAAATGCATGTCCATGCTTTAAAATAATTAAAATAAATTATTATTATATTTGTATATTATTTGAGATTACTAATTAAATAAATGATCACTCAAAGCAAGTTTTAGCTTACCAAATGGAATGGATGTTCTCCATCATCTTTATCTATAAATCAAATATAATTATAAACATTAAAGAATTAAATTATATATATTTTTTTTTAATTCCGTGCATCAACAAATAACAATAACAATAATACTTACTTATAAACACTACATCAATAACTTCACCTTTTTTATGAAGTTGATAAATATTTTCAGATTTTTCAAATACTGTAACACCGTCAAATACTTTTTTCAAGGTTGGATATTCATCATCAGATACATATGAAGAACCATTCACAAAAGGTCTATTAACTCCATTAGAATCTTCTTCAAATTCAACTATATAAACGAGTCTTTTATCACATTTTTTAGGGGGGCAAGGAACTAAAGGTTTTAATTTATTTTGATCTAAATCTATACATTCTTCAATTTTATCGGTCCAAGGAGAAGTAGTGGGATGTTCATGACTTGCTTCTTCATAATGTATAATAGCTTTATTATCTATGGTAAGATTATATGCAAATTCATCGGGTAAACATTCTTGTTGAAACTTAATTCGCATCCAATAATTTGAAATCAGTTGATTAGCATCAACGAGAACTGAATATCGTTGGGCAACATTTATTGGTAATTGATTAATTCGATATGGTACGGTTTTAGTTCCTTCAACTTCTATTACATCGAAGTCATGTTTATCGATCGAAAATGTAAATGAAGAAAAACCACTGAAATATTATTAAAATATTATTATTAAAATCATTATTTTTAAATTATTTAAATTAATGATTAAATTATTATTATTATTATTAAATTATTATTATCATTAAAATTATTTATTACTTTACCTTGTATTAATTATTCTCAATCGATATTTGCAATCCTTCTTAAATACGAATTTTGCCAATTCAGCATTATTTACACATTTCGATCCTTTAGGAGCCCAGTCACAATTATAATTGTTTTTTCCATTTATCAATGCATTATTTGGGATGGGCTTTAATCAATTTAAAATATTGTTAGTTTTTAATCATTTTATCCATTCACAAATAAAAATATTATTAATAAAGGAATAAAAATGATAAATTTGACAAACCTCGGCTCCTTTACTAGCTGGTGACAAGAACCACTTAAATAATTCTGCGGCATTGCTGTGATACCAATCCGTAATAATTACGATCACATCTTCATCATAGCCATAAAGAATTTTATCATAATCATCATAAATTATGAGAGCCCCTAAAATTCCATCCATATATTGACCTCTATGATGGGAATGACTTTTAAAATATATATATATATTTATTTATATTTATATTTAAAATTTTATTAATTCGAAATTTACTCGCTCCGTTCAAAAGTAATAATTTAATGTTAAATAATGATTAATAATACTTACTACCAATAACTTCCACTTTGATGATCTACTGTAAAATCATAAGTAAAATTACATTTATCGGGAATAACGTATTGAGTTTGCCCTACCACACCATCAAACCAAGGAGTTCCGTGCTGAAACATTCCATGCCAATGTATTGCGGTTGGTTCTCCAAGACAATTTTCTACATGAATAATTAATCGATCTCCTTTATTTGCTTCAATGAGAGGACCGGGATATTGTCCGTTAACCGCAGAAACTAATTTTGTAAAGCCATCAGGTGCTAACTCTATTTTGGATAAATGAAATTTATATTCATGAACTTTTTTTTTGGGGAGACTTGGTAATGCCGTAACTCCGACATCATTTGGAACTATAATAAATATTAAACTAATTACAATAAGAACAATGGATGAAAACGAATTCATTTTTTCTTAAAAAAAAAAAAAAAGAAAGCGTAAGGAATCCAATTTTTGTATCTACGTTTTATTTATCCTTTTTTTTATTATTATTATTATTATTTCTGAACGCTGTACGAAACACCCAATAAAGCATGATATGAGTTAACTTTTGTATCAAAACACCTCTATAAGAAATTTCTTTCTATTTTAATTCGTTTGGGTTTTCTAGGTTGGCGTATTTTTTTTTTTTTTTACAAATGAGAGTACTTCGATAAGAGTATTTCGCTCTGTGTAATGATTATTAGCAATGAAAAGATCTCTTTAATTAAACTAATTTGGATATTCAATTTTGAAATGAATTCTCTTTATCGAAATCAAAATAATAAATAATTTAAATCTGATAACGATTGTTTGTATTAATAAGAAAGTTATATAATCATCTTTGAAAGAAAATTCCACGTAGAACTATAATCACCATAAAGATAGGTTGTAATTTTCTTTTTTTGGCGTATTGTTTTTTTTTTTTACAAATGAGAGTATTTCGCTATTCGACAATGAGAGTATTTCGCTCTGCGTAATGACTCTTTAATTAAACTAATTTGGATTTTCAATTTTAAAAAATAATAAAATAATTTAAATCTGATAACGATTGTTTGTATCAATGAGAAAGTTCTATCTAGAACTATCATTGAAAGAAAATTCTATGTAGAACTATGTAGTCCAATTAATTCTGCATAAATATTATCTGATTTAAAATATCAACTTTCTATCTATGTAAAACGTGGAAAACAATATTGGTATCAGTATTATTTTGTGCGATCGAGATAATCAGTGTCATACACTCTTTGAGAACCAGACAACCTGCTACAATTTCCTCATTCCTTCAAAACATATGTAAATTATTTTCCTTCAAAACTGAGTATAAAATTTCAAAAAGATCACTAAAATTAAAAATAATAAAATTCATTAAAAATATCATAAAGGAAGCAATTGTTTAATTTTGGACATTCAATTAAAATTGTGATTATTAATATTTATAAATATATTGTTTTTAATCCATGTGACAAATTCGAATGGAGACATGTGAAAAAAAAATCATTGTTCGCATGTGCAAGATGAAGATCTAAAGTAACAGTTTATTTTTCTTTTTTTAGAATAATTTTTAATTAATTTTTTAATTAAACTATCATATGATCAAGGGGTAATATACTGTATTTGTGATATATATCATTTTCTTTTTTTGGATTTTTAACATTTTAAACCTACTTTCTAGAAGCCCATGTTAAGACCACGTTAAACCCATGTTAAGCTAGCAAGTCTTATCCTTTAATCTGTTGGGCAGGCAAATTTATCTGCTAAAACAATGAAACATGTGAAAACTGACAATCCATATAATTTGGAAACCTTTTTAAATTTACCAAAAAAATTATTAAGTTTTGGAAAGTTAAAACTCAAAAACTAATGTTATCACCACCACTAGTTGTGCAAGTCATGATATTGTTGCAGGTGTTATTGTTAACATCCACTCAACAGTTCTTTTAAGGAGTTTATAGTCCTTTCCCATAGGTACAAAACTTCCAGTTTGATTATTTCCTGAATTCTAGAAGGTACCAGTTAGTTTTTAGATAGAACTAACAAACTAATATTCATTCACTTTAATCATAATACATCTATTTTAATATTACATCTCTTAACTTCCAAGCTTCCTTAATATTATAAATTCATAATTTCATCATAATATCCTTATTAATTTATCTTCATAATCTCATCTTAATATCTTAAATAATATATTTTCATAATTTCCATTTATCATCTTTAGTATTGAATAAATACTTTATTATCAAACTTTCTCAATAATTATTAGAACAGAACAAATATAATTAATTATTTAATTAATTTTATAATTTCCATTTAATATCCTCACTTTCACTTTATTCTATTCAATAAGTTATCATTTATCAACTTGAATAATAATATTTATTACTTCATTTCCACTATATAAATTTAATGGAAATATATATATATATATTTATGTAAATAATTACATTACATCCTCTGAGAATTACAATTAATTAATATAGGGATAGTTCATTTTTATTGGCTAGTAATTAACACTAGTGATCAATAGTAATCAATACTTATAATTGGTTAAAATATAAATATTTTTTTAAACGCGAGTATGTGAAAACAAAAAATTATTTTATTACATCTCAAAGAAAAACTCTGGTCCTTGCTCAGTACAAAATTGTAATCTTCAAATGTTTCACTTTTGTCAAATTACTTTATTAGCATATAAAAAAACTCAAAATAATAGATCATTTAAATTTTATTCTTATTTAAAAATTGGAAAACAGTTATGTCATATTTATTATTTAAGTATTGTTGAAATTGACTGTTATCAAAAATTAAAAACACAAGGTAAAATTAATGATTATAAAATTTAATACTATAATATAATATAATTAATTTCAATTTTTTATTTTATAGAATCAAAAAGCTATTTATTTATTGAACAAGTCAGTATATTTACAAAAGTTTTATATATACAATGTGAAAATATTGAGCTTGATCCTATTTATTTTTAACAAATGATTGTAGAATCTGATTCACATTTATAAAGATTTTTTGATAAACTAAAAAAGGCATTGATTTCTGATAAAAGATCTTTATATAATAAAATTGAAGCAAAAAAAAAATTATAAACCTATGCTACATAATAACTAAAATATGAAACAAATTTGTTAATAATTTTAAATTAAAAATTGAATTATATCTATTAGTATCAGGAGCATCACATACTGTCATTGATACATTAAACAATATTAGATTATCTGCATATTATATAACAATCAATAATTTTAAATGAATACTTACAAATGAATATCTTTTAAAAAATAAGAGAATTTTTTTCAGAACAAGTAAATAAAATTATTATTATTTTTTTAAAAAAAATAATTTTATATTAATCTAATATTGTATATAATTAGAACAATTATTTGTATATCTATAATTTGGATGATTACCATAATATTTATGAAAAAAGGAGACCTAATATAATAACCTTATCAACTGCAAAGTATATGGCTACCTGTATTTATAAACAAGTTTTAGCATATGTACCAGTATCAATTATTTTCAATAGTTCTTCAATTCATAATCCAGTAAATATTGATGTCAGTAATATTTATTTCTGGTTAATAAATCAATATTATGGAACTTTTAATACTTCTTATATCAATTGTAAAAAACAATGGCTTGTTAATAAAGGGTTAGATATCAATAACTTTGATAAAATAGAATTACTTACAGTCTATTTTTATAATAATACAATTGTGAAAAAAAAGAGGAACATTTAATGAAAGGAGTTCAATTGATTAAACTTCAAGAAAAAAATTTACATTCTATGAATAATTATATAAGTGCATTACAATTAATCTTAGATATTGATAATGATACTAGTATTCTATATAATAGAGTTGTACCATTAGTTGTTAACTGATCAGAACAGCTATTTATATATAAAATAATAACAAATCTCTATAAAGATAATTTACAATATTCAATACCTTTCAGAATTAATTTATTTATTTCAATTTTGGATCCTCTTCATATTTTTCTTAATAATAAAGAATATGTTTTAATTATTTATTACACTTTTTTTAAAAAATTATTTTATTTTGTATTTGGAAAAGAAAAATATTAACAAAAAAACCAAAATCTTGACTTCTTGATTTGGCTCAATAGATGGTATAAAATAAAAGAAACAATTTTAATAAAATTTGAAAATATCTATAAAGATATTGAATATCAAATGATTTTAGATTTATTAGATGTAAATTTCAATAATTATTATGTTGAAAACTATTACAGTAAGATACATGTGCATATAAATACAAATAATAATATAAAACAACATTATAAAACAAGTCTTTGAAATAGGTATTATTATAAAATTATTTATAATTATCATTTATAATATAATAAATTTTGATTTTATATTTTGTTAGATAAATGAAATCAAAGTGAAATTAAAAATATTTTTGAAAGAATAAAAACATATCTTTATAAACTATCATCTTTAAACTTCTTACAGAAAAAATTTCACTATTTTATTAGAATATTTTTAAGAAATTTTTAAAAATTCTGAAAAAAGTAAATTACATAAAACAAAAAAAATAGAATATAAATTAATTACATTAGGTATTACTGTGGATTCTCAATGTCTTCCAACTGGATTTAGTACTAATGTGCTTCATCACCAGATACTTGTGATTGTTGTCACAAAAAATTTGATAATAATGAAGTATTAACTTGTGAATATGGATGTCACTATAAATATTATCAAATACTTGAATATAGTTGTCATTATTGTGAAGAATATTACAAATAAAAAATTTATAGTAATATGAAATCATTTTTGGAAAGATTGAAAAAAGGAGCAAATAATTTTTGAAGAAGAAAAAAAAAGAGAGGATATTTTAGTAGAAGAAAATGAAATAATAGAAATAAAAATGAATGAAAGTCAAAAAGTATATAAAAAATTTTTAATATCACTTGACAATATTAACACATGGTAATATAAACACTTGATATCTCAAATCTTCAATATTTGCTACAAATAGAATATTTTTACTATATCCATATAAAGTATTCACTTAATAATATTAATAGTAATAATAATTAATAATAATAATAATAATAAATAATAATAATAATAATAATAATAAATAATATTATTGCTAAGTTTCATTCTAATAATATATTTTAAAATACTAAAAATGTTAAAATTAACTTTATCTACCCTGTAAATAGTAATAATTTTTATATAGCTTATAATCAATTGTTATAAAAAAATACTTCTAAGTAAAATTTATAAGGAATTAGATCAAATTGGATTAGGCTAGTAAACCATAAAGAACAAGTTTCAAAGAATATATTTGCAAAGTTTCATTGTCATTCATTTAGTTATTTGGATAATTTGTCATATAAATGATTATAATTTAATTGACCATTATTATAAAATGAATATAAAAGTTGTGTAACATGTAGATCAAAATCTAGACTATACTATTTTAACTACTGTGCTACAAAATAATAACTATAAATGATATAATACTAATAATATTAATAATAATAAATATTAAGTAATACTAA